GCACTGGCACCTTCGATGCCACATGTGGGTACCCTGGGGAAGGACCCGTGGGTAATATGATCCTGAGGACAGCCAACATTGGTTCTGTTCAGACTAATCATGATTGGAAGTCTTGGGGCTGTGACATCCTTTGCCTGCAAGAAACGAGAATCGGAAAGAATAACTTGAAATCGGCCACGCATGCAATTCGTGATGCCGGATACCAGGCTGTTCTGGGGCACATCCTGCCGGGTCTTTTGCACAAGGTTGGTCGCATCCACACCCCTTGTGGTGGTACTGGTGTACTTGCCTCCAAAGACTTTATAAAACCTTTTGTTGCCCAGGATGACCACACGGGCCTCTTCCAATCCCTGTTTGACACCAAGCGTATTGTCATTGCCTGGATCCAAATAAGTCCTAAGAGACGTGCTCTTGTTGTCTCGGTCTATGCGACCACGGGGGCCTCAAATGATGCGGCCATTCACGAAAGCAACGACCGGCTCTTTCAGGACCTTTTTGAGCTGACTGCACAGTTTGGTTCAATTCCTGTGATTGTCGCGGGGGATTTTCAGGCCCTACCGCTTTCATACCCTGCCGTTTCCAATGCTGTTCACATGCACAATTGGTACGACCCCTTGCACTGTCTTGATGACACAGGGCAGTCCTGTCGTCCTGTTACCTTCTCTAATGATGGGCTCTTTGCCGGATTAGGAGAGGGCTCCTCGTCGATCGATGGGATCCTCCTTAACCAATGTGCGTATTTTGCCTTGGAATCTTGCAAGGTCATTGAATCCTTTGGCCGACAGCACAGACCCATTGAGTGTTGCTTCTTTTGGCCGTCACTGGAAGTGGTTGGGTATACCCTCTACAAGACGGCCCCACTTGATGTGACCAACATCCCCAAAAACCACTGGGATCCTAAGTGGGCTATGCAACCGCACAACGATAGGCCTCCTGGCCTTGATGAATGGTCCGATGTTTGGGAGAATCAGTTCCAAAACGCCCCTGACCCGGAACTCAAGTGGGATGTTGTCAATAAGTTCTGTGTGGAATCGCTCCTCCAATCGGGGGCCACGTGGGGAGAAGGTCCACATGAAAGAGCCAAACCTGCTCGCTTTTGTCCCAAGCAAATTTGCCCTCCACAGCATCGGAACCACTGTGCCGCTACTCGTAAAAGTGCTAGTCTCTTCAAGCTTCAGAATCGTCTTGATGAGCTTTTGGTCCGTAGAACCAGGGGCTATAAATCAGATCAAGACCGGCATGTCTTTCGAGTCACGTCGGCTAAGGTCTTCCGTTCGCTGCATGTTTTACACGCCCCGCTGCTTTGGCCGAGAGTTGACCAAGTCACCCTGGTTCATATCCAGGTTGCAAAATCATGGGTGCTCCAGGAAATCCAAAACCACATGACGCAAGTGAAAAATGCTAGAATTCAATCCTGGAAACATCGGATCCAGACCTCAGCCAAACATGGCTGTAACTACATCTTCAGGCATCTCAAGAACAAACTTCTTGATGAACCAGCCAACTTGGTCGAGGATGATCATGGGAACATCCTTTACCAGCCTGACGCTGCCCTTCAGCATTTGAATAATAAGTGGGATGACGTTTATGGTGCTAATGTTGGGTTTGATCATCCGATCAAAATGCTTCACACAGTTTGGCCTTACATTCAAGATAAAGTTCATCAAGCTAATCTCCCTCAGATTGATGCCGAAGCCTTGTATAAAACAGTTCAAAGACGCAAAACAGAGGCGGCCCCAGGCCTCGACGGCTGGAGGACCTGTGAACTTCAGGCGTTGCCACCGCAATGTTTCATTCCGATTGCAAGATTTTTTCGATGGATTGAACACCACCCCCAGCTTGATTTGCCGGAAGCCCTCACACGTGCTAAACAAATTATACTTAACAAGCCTGGGGCGGCCAGCGCCATGAATAAGCGCTTGATCACGATCCTACCTGCATTGCTGCTCTCGTACACGGGTGCACGATTTGAGCAGCTACAGGCGTGGCAGATCGCAAAGATGCCCAGCTGCATCATCGGTGGTGTCAAAGGGCGCACTATGCCCTCCCTGCATACAGCTCTTAGACTAGAGATTGATGTAGCTAGAGCCTCACGACAAGACCTGGTAGGCATTAAGCTAGATAAAGCCAAATGCTTTGACCGCCTGATCCCCGAGTGTACTGCTGCCTTGTTCCTTGCCTTTGGTCTACCAAAGACCCTTGTTAGCTTCTTCGTTAGAATCTATAAAGGTCTTAAGAGACACATTGCCTACAAGGGGTGGATCAGCCCCACGGCCACTACAGCAGCCAATGGGGTAGTACAGGGCTGCTCACTCTCACTAGTTGCGGTAAATGTGCATACCAAGGTGTGGGTTCATCTACTCGAGACCCTACCGACTCTGTCCATGCGAGCCTATGTCGATGACGCCTATCTCTGGTGTAAGATCCAGCATCTTGCAGATTTGTCTACCGCGCTACAGATCACTAGCCTCTGGGATGAACTTGTTGGGCAGAGGCTAAATGCAGCGAAGTCCACTGTTTGGGGAACATCCCGTGTAGCTCGCCATGCTGTTGCCCATGCATGTCCTGACATGAAGTTAGAATTCGTCTTTGATGCCTTAGGCACGAGGATTTATACTTCTAACAAGGATGATTTCCATTTCGAAACCAAGACCCTTGAACATGTCTGCCAAGCGGTTGACTGTATTGGAGCCCTTCCCCTTCCAGTCAACATTCGCGCTCACTTGATCGGGGCTAAGGCCATCCCCAAACTTACGTATGGAGCCCACATCTCACGAACTCCGAAAGCCGCTCTTCAAAAGGTCCAAAACGGTGTAACTAGAGCCCTTTGGCGAGGGAGGCCAAAGATTCGTGCCAAACACCTTGTCCTTACATTCTTTGGTAAGCCGCATCGCATTGATCCTTTCATTGCACAAGCGTATAATTGTGTCTTGGATATTTTCAGATATTGTTTTGATCACCCGGACACGATTGACAAGCTTAAGCTTATTGACAAGAATCAACGGACGGCCAAAAACTCTCTTGTTGCGGCACTCCAGAGGGCGTGTGATATTTTGCACCTGTCCTTGCTTGATGATTTTTCCTTGCAATTTCAGGGTGCGGATAAGATCATATTAGGCTCATGTGGCCCAAGAGATTTTGCTAAGGTGCTTCAAGCCATCGCACTGCAAGCACAGTATTTTGCGGTCCAACACAAGAAACGTAAAGACGTCTGCAAACCTAGTGGTCTTGTTGATGTGACTTTGAGCACCGCCTTCTTGCGTAAGCCGACTTTTGCCACCCCGACTTTTCCTACAGCAACAATGCATTTCGAATCTGTTCTGGTTGGATGCACTCTGACCAAAGACCGGCTTTGTGCTTCAGGATGGGTCGAAGATCACATGTGTCGGTTTTGTGGCCAAGCTAAGGAAACCATGGCTCACTTGGTCTTTGCCTGCACCTCACTGCATAGGCTGATCTCCACACCTACGCTACATGAGTTTGGTGCAAACTTCTCCATGCTGGGAATTTTTGAACACCCATCTCAAGTTGCTCGCCATAGGCTCTGCCAAGACGTGACTTTGCCACCGTGTGAACATGACTTCCCTCCGGAGAGTATTTTGGAAGAGGTCTGGACCGACGGCTCGGTGATGTGGACTTCACATTTCTGGATCACCACAGCAGCATTCGCAGTTATCGATTCAGATGGCGCAGTCAAAACCTCTGGCCGGGTGAAGGCTTTGCGGCTCAACAGCTACACTGCCGAATTGTGGGCAGTTTGCAATGCCTTTGCAACCAGCCGCAATCCTGTTATCGTATACACGGACAGCCAATCTGTTGTTGACAACATTGCCCACATGATAAAGCATGATGGTATTTTGCCCACCTGGGCTTGTTTGTCTTGGTGGACACAGTTACACAAACTTTGGCACCATCGTAAGCAGATTTTCTGTGATCCTCTTCAGGTCTGTTGGATACCTTCTCATTGTTTGGAGCACGTTTCGGACACTGACCTCACGGAATCAGCGGCTCAGGCCCTTGGCACGACCGTACGGCATATTCTCCGGAACAGACAGGCCGATCGTGAAGCCAAACGCCAAGCGTTGTTACATGCACCTGTTGATCCGAAGGTTCAGCGGCTTGTGACCCCTGCCACACTTCTGCATCAAGAATGGCTGACGAGGTTACATTGCCACCTTGATACAAGGCAACAAATTGGTGAGCCTAACCTGGAGCCCACACAGGGTGGTGACAGTCATCAACCTTCAGGCGTTTCATTGACAGCTGCAATTGCATCATTCTCCAAGTGGCCATGGAATTCGCACCTTGGGACTTACAAATGGAAGCCCAAGATCCCCGATGCCATTCCAGTGCCTAAACGCTGGCGCTCATCAACCTCCAACTGGCATACAGTCTGCGATTTCCTCCGTACTCTGCGGTGGACGGTGCAACCGGGTAACAGCACGGCCTTCTGTGAACTTGCGGTTCATTTCCATGCGTCGGGTTTTCAACTTGATGACCACGATGAAATGCTGATCCATGATGTTTATACATTGATTCGTCAGTGTTTGCAGTGGCTGGCCAAGACTGATGGTTGCCAGCCCTTTCCTGGTGACATGCAACCGGGGCATGCGAAATCTGTTGGAAAGGTGCTTTGCCAAGGTGCCATCACAGGCGCCTCTGCTTACTTGTCGAATCATAGCCTACACTTGCTTGCATGCGCCCTGCAGGCCGGTGCCGGTCGGGCTTCCGAATCGTGGAAGCTCCATTTTCCCGCTTTGCCATCTTGAGTGTATAGTTTTGTGCGTTGACCTGCGCACAGTTTGGGGCCTTTTATGCATCTTGCGCCCAGCGGGACGCAGATGCCGTTCGCGCGTTTCACTCGTGGATCGTGCGCAATGGGTGGGTGAGTATACAATGGTATACAAGCATGGCCTGTGGCCAATGGCCAGTCGGATCATTCTGATCATAAGGCGCCATGCTGTGGCAAAATAATGCTAAGACCCTGCCAGCCCTGCCAGGATCGTGCGAGACTATGTGGTTTTGAGCCATGACTTGGTGGCCCCACCGCTGCAACTCATACAGCGCCGTTTGCTAGACCGTCCCACCGTCGTGGTCTCCGAGCGGGGTCGCCCGGCCGAGTGCCCTGGCGAAAGGGCAAAGGACGGGAGAAGTTAAATATGCTAGCAAGATCCAACAAAAATACATTTTGTTTAAATATATATATATACATATGTTTGTTGTAGAGATGTATAGTCATCTAGAGTTGCTAGCTTGTAAGGTAGCTTGCTGCATGTGGACCTTTTCACTTGACTCCATCAGTGGAGCCCAGAAGCTGAACTGAGAGCCCAGAGCAGGAAAGGAATCCCGTTGCGCCTGAGTTGATTTGGAGTGGTTAGATCCACTCAATTTTTCTTTGCATGGTAGGGGAGCTACCTGGTTCTGGCTCAGGTAGCGACAGTGAGTTTGAATTGATGGAACCTGCAACGGGAAGTGCTGATACAGCACGCTCGCCTGCCCAGCGTCAGTGGACACGTTGGGTGAGGAAATTGTTTGGAGTCAGGAAGTTCCAGAGGATCTTTGGATTCCTTGGCAGGTACTTGCAAGAGTACCCTTGCTCACTCCTTGAGCGCTTGTCACGCCAATTGCCCTACCAGTAGAGGCAATGGCACAACCAACATCACCAAGTGGCCCACCCACAGGAGCAGGAGGTGGCTCGGCAGCAGAAAACATGCTTGGGCTGATTCTTCAGAACCTTCAGTTGGGGCAAGCTCAGATTGCAAGGGAGCAGGCAGCACCGACACCTGCGCTCACAGAAACTCTCAAGAGCTTGAAGAGCAAACCCGGTGTGGTTGAACCTGAGCAGCTCAAAGGACCTCATGAGGAAGCTGGCAAGCATTGGAAAGCCGGAGCTTTGGACTTTGCCCGCGGGAAAGGAGATGGCCCAGTGACCGCAGACAACCTCGTCAATTCGACCATCACGGACATTGATGCCATGTACAGACATTCGACTACTTTGAAGGTTTTTGAATCCCCCAAGATCGACATTGACGGCACTTCGTTCTCAATTGGATTGATGGGAATCTGATGTTACAGAGTATGTTTCAAGGGGTCAACCAAAACCATCAGATGATACACTCAGGCAAAAGGTTGGCCCTCGACCCTTTGAAGAACTATGTGGAGGAAGATCCAGAAGAGGCCATCAAGAAGCAGAAGAAGAAGATGATGACTGGCCAAGACCCTCCAAGCCTGGTAGGTATTATGAGTCATGTGGTGATGAAGAAGGAGGTGAAGAAGAAGAGGATCCAGAGGCGAAGGATCCAGTGGTGGTGGGTGGTCACCAAGATCTTGGAGAAAGCCATCGCCCAAGGCAGCATTACCAAGAGGAGGCAGGCCAGAGATCCAAAGGCAAGAGATGCCCCCTCACCAAAGGTCAAAGCAAGTCCCAAGGAGGCCAAACTTGTCCTCCAGCCTTCTCCAAAGTCAAGAGCTCCATCACAGTCTTCTCTTGCATTAGCAGCCGCGACGCCAAAAGAGGCACCTGCAGTAAAGGCCGCGCCAGTTGATCCAAAACCGCTGAAGACCAAGCAGTATCCATGGGAATTTGGTCGCTCAGCAAGACCATTGCCGGAGCCTGGAGGCAAATCAGATATGCTTCAAACCTTGATTTCCCAGCGAGCCACTGAAGTTCGCAGCTTCAAAGAAGCATTGGTCCCCATCCCAGGCGCTGTCAAAGTTCAAGCAGCCCTGGAGGAGAAGAAAGCAGATTTGAAGAAGCTCAAAGATCAATTGGAAGAGGTGAGGACAAAAAAGTCAATTCGCCAGACCATGGACCAAGTTCATGGGAAGAGATTCGCCTATCAAAAGGAAAGAGGAAGACTGCGTGCATCCAAGCATCGGTTGGCAGGCACCAAAGAACGCGCTTTTCAGCGCGTTGCCCGGGATGAAGAGAGTGATCCCAAGGGCATGGCGTCCAAGAGGCAGACATTTCCTTTGGCGACTGGCGACTTGGCAAAAGAGATGGAGAGAAAGCCTCTCACCAAGAGTGAGAAGAGGCACATGGCAGAAGAGGAAGAGGAAAATCTTGAGATAAGCCTCGAAAGACCAAGCTTGGCCCTGCAGAAGCCAAGCGCAAGAAGGCCAACAAGGCCAAGAAGAAGTGGAACAAGAAGAATTGGAAGAAGGGAAAGACAGTGGACAAGAGTCCAATGGAGCCTGAACAGGTTCAAGAAGAAGAGGCCAAGAAGACCGGTACTGTGAAGTGATTCGATGACAACCGCAACACGAAAAGCCAACGGTGGTCCCAAGATCAGGACTACAACAACTGGAAGCATGATTGGTACAAAGAGACCTATGAGTCCAAGTATGCCAAGGAGAAGCTCAAGGATTGGCGAGTGGCAAGGAGGTTGGAAAGACCAGCCAAAGAGGAAGTCCCAAGACGACACTGAGACTTGGGAGACAGATGTTGCAGCTGGATCTGCGGAGATCGAAGAGAGGAAGCGCCCTCAAGTGAACCTCGAGCACCAGGCGGTGGCACGCAGCCTGCGTCCTTTGAATCCTCGAAGTGGCCGCGTGGGAGATGACCCCGATGAATCGGAGAATCCCTTTCCGGTGGCTGCTGAAGTGGAGTTGCCGCTTGAGAATGTCGAGATTCTCAATGAGGCCGAGCAGTAAAGGTGGGTCACATATGGATATTTTTTTGGTTAAATTCCGGCGCAAGCAACAGTCATGATGTTGGACCAGCATTAGGGTATAAGGAGTATTGTATGGCAGATGGTCGTATTGTGCTGTGGGAAAGTCATGGCCCGGTTGAGACCAGCAAACCATTGCTGAGCGTGGGAAAGCTCATTGAGTATGGGCATGGATCCCAGTGAATACGTCCAGTTCAAAAAAATGGCACAAAGATCAAGATTTATTTGCGAAATGGTGTTTGGAAGTTGCCCACATGGGCATGGGACCCTTTTCCAGGGCAGGATAAGAATGGTCTGTAAGACCCACTGGTGACGCCTTGGCCGAAGAGGCAGGAGGCGAGGTCGAAGTGGCAGTGGAGGCTTCAGCGGATGATGCCCTTCCCGCGAGGCCACTTGCGCAGCCAAATCGACCGACGCCTGAGATGGTACACGCGCACAATGTTTCACGCGTACCTTTTCGTTCATGGTGTCCTCATTGTGTACGAGGTCGTGGACGCTCTTTTTAACTCAACAATGCCAGTGGTCTCCATCGACTATGGTTTCTTAGGTGCACCAGGTGAACTGCCCCAGGATGCAGTTGGTGGACAGAAGATGCCAGTTTTGGTCGTGCGTGATCGTTTCACAAAAGCCATTTTCATCCATTTAGATCCTTGCAAAGGCACAGGGCATTTTTACCCAGAAGCTGCACTGGTTCGAAGCATTCAGTTTCTTGGTTGCATAAAGTTGATTCTGAAATCGGACCAAGAGCCCACCATTTTGGCATTGGCAAGTGCAGTCAAGAACACTTTTGCTTCACAAAACATCGAGTGTCAGTTGGAGAATTCACCCAAAGGTGATTCACATGGCATGTCAAACGGTGAAGCTGATATGTCACAGTTGGTCAAACACAAGGTCTTTGTCGCACTCTCAAAGATCACATGGAGCGCAACATTGGCAAACAGATCGACCCAAACTCTCCACTTTTGGGTTGGCTCATTGAACATGTCGGTGTTTTGCACACGTTGTTTCTTATGGTGAGCGTGCAAAGGACACTTTGACACCATTCGCAAAAATTCGAGGTCGAGATTGGACAGTCCCGCTTCCTTCGTTTGGAGAGCATGTAGATTATAGGGTTCGAACACAGCGCAAACTTGCAGTTCGATGGGAATCAAGTGTTTTCTTCTTAGGGGTTCGATTGCACACAACCGAGAAGATCATAGGAACAAGCAAAGGTATAGTTGTTGTTTAGTCGATTCGTCGAACGCGAAGACCAACAGTGGAGTGCAGAGCCCTAGAAAGCATGCAGGGTACGCCTTGGGCACCCAATCCGTCGAAGAAGCGTTGAACCTCGTGAAGCTTTAGAGTTGCCTGAAGTCGAACTGCCAGAAGTCGAAGTTCAGAAGATCGAGACCTCAGAGAACAAGCCGCACTACCGTCGAGTCTTCGTCAAGACGATTTCGATAGGTTTGGTTACTCTGCAGGTTGTCCAGCTTGTGGTAAGATTCGAGCCGGAGAAGATCGTCAAGGAGTCTTGCGCGCAGAGAACTGTAGACTTCGCGGAGTAGGTCGTCTTCAAGAGACTGAGTATGCCAGAAATAGGCTGAAGACTACACAAGAACGTGAAGAACTAGCCAAACAGGAGGTGGCCGAAAACCCTCATCAAAGCTCCGGGTATCCAAATCCCAGTGGTTCAGGTGTCAAACGACCTGCGCCCAATCCTCCGGATGACCCGCGGTTAGAGCCGCCAGAAACAGAAGCTTGAGGAGCAAAACGTTCCGCCGAGCAGGCCGAAAATTCCCCTGATATTATTGCTGACGCTGAAATGGAAGTCGCTAATTTGCTTACAGCGCAAAGGAAAGGTTTCCTTCAACAGGTTGAGGCAGTCAAATACCCGTTTGTGAGGAAGATTTCGGGTTAGATCCGGAAAAGTTGCCTCGCTACTGGGATGATGTCAGTGGGAAAGAGCTGAAGCCGGAGAAAGTGGTTGCCGCTCGAAAGGAAGAGATTTCCGTCGTCGGAGACATGGGAGTTTGGGATCATCCCTCACCCCATTGGCGAGAAGGTCATTTCAACTCGTTGGGTTCCTGTCAACAAGGGCGACGAGGAGAAAGAGAAGTGCAGAAGCCGATTGGTTGCTCGTGAATTAAAAAGAAGGCTGACAACGATTGGAGCACTTGGAGCGATTTCTTCGCTTCGATGCCACCCATCGCAGCACTTCGAATGTTGTTCACACTTGCAGTCACAGAGCGAATTCCAGATATAAGTGGCAAACGGATCACACAACCAAGAGACATTTGCTTGATTTTCATCGACGTGAAGCACACTTTTAGTCGCCAGCCAGGAGGCGATTGCTGGTGGAACTTCCACCAGAAGCAGGTTATGGTCCTGATGTTGTTGGTTTGCTGAAGAAAAGCTTGTATGGAACTCGCGATGCACCAGCAAACTGGGAAGCAGCCATTTGTGTCGTTACGACACCCATTGGTTTTGTACAGGGCAAGTCAAACTCTTGTATTTGTTATCGCCCGGGAAAGCAGATTCGTGTAGAAGTTCATGGTGGTGATTTTACTTGAGTAGGTTCCAAGTCCAACTTAGAATGGTTCGCAGAAGAGTTGAAGAAACATCGGACAATTGACGTCCGTGGTATTCTTGGCCCCCAGGAATGGAAGGAGTCAATCAAACCATTGTTATTCTCAACAGGTTGGTCACTTGGCCAGTGAAGGAATTGAGCTCGAAGCAGATCCACGACGTGTGGAGTTGATCTTGCAAGAGGTAGGTGGTGAAGCTGCAAAGATCACAACACCACTTGTGAAAGAGCGAATGGAGGATGTTTGCGAGTCAGAACCTCTCAGCAACGAGGAGGCGGCTCGCTATCGCTCAGTGAGCATGAGGTTGGCTTACCTTTCCCGAGATCGTCCTGATCTACTCCTTCCTGGAAAGGAGCTGGCAAAAGGGTTGAACCCCACGCATATGCAGATGCTGAAGCGTCGGGCTCGCTATTTGCGATCATATCCCCGATTGTTGCACTTGTTTCCAAATCAGACACAGTTCACCCAGCTTGATGTTCGGGTTGACGCAGATCATGCTGGTTGATTAAGATCTCGAACGAGTACAACTGGTACAGTTTTGCTTTTGGGAAAGTGCACTACTCGCAATACACGCAAGTCACAAGCAGTTATTGCACTCAGCTCTGGAGAAGCTGAGTATTATGGGTTGGTATCTGGTTCACGCCAAGCTCTTGGTGAGCAGAGCTTATTGGCAGACTGGAACATACGTGTCAGTATCACATGCTATATGGACGCAACAACAGGCTTAGCAACAGGCAGCCGACATGGATCGGGGAAAGCCAAGCAAGTAGATACAGTTCTTCTGTGGACCCAACAACAAGTCCTCTCTGGGAAGATTGAGCTTGCTAAGCGATCTACCCTCAAACAGCCGCCGGACGAAAACGTTGCTCGAAGAATGCACTGCCGCTCAAGCGCTCGCTTGCCTTGAAGGCCTGAAGTGCCACTGAGGGGCATTGAGCCGTGGCTAGCTAGGCATCTCTTTTCATTTGTGTCTCAAGGAGACACGCGTTCAGGAGGCGTGTAGAGATGTATAGTCATCTAGAGTTGCTAGCTTGTAAGGTAGCTTGCTGCGTGTGGACTGTGTATCTGTCCCGAAGCCCCTTTTCACTTGACTCCATCAGCGGAGTCTAGAAGCTGAACTGAGAGCCCAGAGCAGGAAAGGAAAGCCGCTGCGCTTTGAGTTGATGGGGAGTGGTTAGATCCACTCAAAATTTCTTTACCTTTGTGTGTATTTATCTATTTGTTTATCTATCCGTCTATCTATCTATCTATCTATCTGTCGATCTCTCTATATCCCTCTATCTCTCTATCTCTCTATCTATCTATCTGTCTGTCTTTCTATCTATCTACCTACCTACCTATCCACCGATCTATCTATCTATCTATCTACCTATCTATCTATCTACCTATTTTAACCTTTAGACTCTTTACAACTTGCTTTCTTTTCTTTTTTTAGGGTCAAAGGGTAGGAGTTGGGTGGCTGGATTTTTTCTTGGCAGACTGTCTGCAACCACCTCCTTTGCTCAGTTGCTTTGTTGGCCATATGCCTTGCACGGGCAGATGGCTGAGGTCCTCCGTGCGTTTGCTGGCCCACTGGGAGCGAGGCGCTGCGTCGCCCTCGTCCCTGCTGGCGATCCGCATCCACACAGGGCGACGGCATCAGATTCGCGCGCACCTGCAGAGCTCAGGGGCGCCATCGGTGGCAGACCATCGCTATGGTTTCACCCAGGTCGTTCTCAGGTCCAAAGGCGGCCGAAGAGAACTAGACATCGAGAGGTTTGCAGAACAAAATTCTGCTTTGAGGTTTCCCCATCACCTAGTCTTGGGCAGGTTTATTGGCAAGGTGTGGGAGAAAAGGCAGTTGCTTGGATTTCTATGGGTTTTGTTTTAGGCATCTTCGTGGAGGAAGGCACCACCATTTGGGAGGGTCGGAACCTGCTGGCGATCACCACTGTCTTCGTGTGCTCCAGGTGGGGTGGGGTGTCTTTCTGATGTTTGGGCGGTGATGGCCAACTTGCATGTCGCTCCTAGTAGCTTCTGGCTACTAGCTACTAGTAGTAACTTAATGGCCTCCCACCCAATAGCGATGGCCTCCAACCTAGGAGATTCTAGCTACTTCGATTTGGATCTTGTGCCTCAGCTATGCCCTCATGAAGCAGTGACCGTCGGCAATGACATTTTGTAATGCTCAGATTTGCGGTTGGCAAGTCGCGTTGGATGCCCGTCAGGTTGGTAAGCTTCCTTCGTGCTGGGTCGTCTACAGGGCATCTGGTCAGGACTGCCAAGGGTGTTTTCATGGTTGCGTATGGCTTCACCATGTGGAGTGAGATCAGGTTGAAACGAAGGGCTGAGCGTTGGAATTCAGGACCCTCATCATTATTTTCTGGGATATGTCCAGCTTCTTCTGGGTGATGTCGGTGATGCTGCTGACCTTTGTTTTCGCCTTCCAACTGCCACTTCTCTGCAAAATGCAGGCACTTCCGCTGGTGTTCCCAACTCTGAATTGCCTTCCCTCCGCGTCTGCCGCCCCACCTGATCTGTTGTGGGTGTGGCGCCGTGTCGCACAAGGCTTTATGACCAGCCCTTCACCTTCGAAGGTTTGGGTGCCACCATGTGGTACGTGTACATGCATGGCATCTTTGGCGATGCGGATGACGTGGTGCAACAACCTAGACATGACGAGCCGCTGTGGGAGCCCGCCGAGTCTTGTCTTATTGTGGCTGGTTGGGACATCTGTTGTGCTCAATGCCAGTGGCTTTTGCAGTTCTGTTGGATGGAGGTGGACTTATGAGGTGCGATTGTGGAAGTCCTCAACTGGCTCGCTAATCGGTCATCCTAGAATGATGTGGCTGCAGCAGGGGCTGCACCCCGGAAATTAATGAGGAAAATGGAAGGGGCCGTTTCCACAGCCACCTGCCCTATACATGATCTGGCGCAATGTGGCCAAGGACAACTCTGGATCCTTGACTGCGCGCCTGCTGCTTGTCATCTGTGTCGTTGTGATGCTGGTGGTGACTTGGCTACGCTCTTTTCAATTTAGTGCTTAGGTCACTTATATTTATAATTGAAGCTGGGTTTCGACGATAGAGGTCAGTCGAGGATGGGGATACGGGATGGAGCCTCCTTTTGCCCGTCTGGACTGGGGAGCCCAAGCGATTTCAATTCACAGTGAAGCAAGTGGTGCCTGCGGTGAGTGGCCTTGAACTTTTGCGTTCAGAAGTTCTCAATCCCTTCACATCCACTCTGAGGTGATGATGAACTTTCTCATTGACCCTTGGACTAGCAGGGAAATGGCATGCTCAAGCTTGGTCGGACCACCTCCCGTTTCGAGTTCTGTGGTTGAGACGGGAGGTTCCTTAGTTTTATGGGTGGTTTTCCTGAATGTGGTTGTACCATAGGACTGGCTCGCATCGGGGAAGTATTGCTTTCCGGTGACAGTTGAGGTATGGCATGGCGTAGCAAGCATGAGTGTGGGGGCTTGGAGGGTGGCGTGTGTGGTCGAGCCCTGTCACGTGGTTCTGGGTGGGAAGCAATCCAGGCCATCATGAGTGACAGCTATGACAAGGCCTGGAGTGTCATCGTGGCATTCCGAGGGTGGGGAACAAGAGGACGGATCTGAACAGTGCAAGGCACTCGGCCGCCACAAGGCTTCTTAAGGAAAACACGGTTCTCATGTTTGTTGCATGGCGGCTTCAACAGGATTTGCCACTCAACCAATCAATACCAAGGCCCGAACATGTTGCCCACATTTTTGGCAGTACCAAGACTTGTTCCCCCAGCAACTACTTTTCCAAGACTGACTTGAGAGTGTATGATGCTAATGAAGCCTTTTGTTGGCACTGGTCTGTGGCACGGCATTTTCGGGGTGGGCCCCCCACCTGGTTGACGCAAGAGGTGCAGGAGAGCGCGGAAGTGGCACGGAACGTCATGCGACTGGAGCTGGTCTATGAGGTGGGACTTGTTGATGCATTTTCTTTTGTACTCTGTGTGTGCGTGTGTGTCTTTTTATTGCTTTTTGATGTCCTCACTTTTGCTAAATTCAAGACGGGTGTAGAGTCTCGATTCGAGACTCTCGAACATCTGAACTTTCTAGTAGGGGGATATGCATCACCGCGCGGCTTGCGGGAGGCCGAAGTGGCCAACATCGTTCGGCGGTGCCACCGGACGGCGAAGTGGCCGCCGAAGGCAACGTGTGGGGGGTTCTGGAGGGGAGCGCACAGGCGGGGAGCAGCACGGGTCAGAGGTGTTGGAGGCGTTTGGTGCTGTGTGTAGTCCATTTGGTTATTTCAACTTGCTGAGACCTCAGCCTCCTTTTTTAGCCATCACCGTGAGGCCTACGTCTTCACTTGCCAGGGGGTGCGCTACGCCGGTGGGGGTCACCAGGCCACCCAGCAGGAGAACAGCCGCTGGGAAGGCCGAGTGAGGCAGGTGGAGAGCCTTGACCGAAACGGGCTCAGTGTCAAATCCACCCAACACACGTGGCAAAAGGACCAGCAAGGATGTGCTGAAGCGGGGAAAGTGGGCAAGCAGCTACGGATGGTTCACTTTTCTTGGGGAGACGTGATTGGAGATCATGTAGTAGGTGCTTGAGAGTCCCAAGATCCAACGTAGAACTCTCATGGCCATCGCATCCCAAACATCCGCAGCAACAGTGAAAAACACTGAAATGCCGAAGGTCCTTTGTTTCTGCTAGCCCTATAGCTCTGCTTCTCCTGCTGGTGCAGGGATTGAATGTGCATGCAAGCTGACAACCACCACCACTATGACTATGGTACCAACATTGCTCCTCCTGCTGCTGCTGCTGCTGGCGTTGCTATTCCCACAGATGACGGTACTCCGGAATTGACATGCTTTGGGGGACAACCAGCGCAAGACACAACTTCTGTAAATGCGTGCAGATGCATTTTTCTTTCAGATCACCTGTTTGGTTTCGATTCGCTGGCTGGTGGTGGGACTACAACACTAGGCCTATATGGGTCAAGCAAGTAGGAGGCTGCAAGCTGGTTTGTTGCTGATTTGATTTGTGATTTCTCTGGGCCTTTTGGCTGGGTCTAGTCACACGACAGTGCAGTGATCCTCTATCTCACCTGCCAAGGAAAGTTGTGCGGCGTGAGAATCGGCACACCTGCCAGGTATTGATGGAGCAGGCGTTGTTGGTTGCTTGAGTTTCCATTTGAACGGCCGATTTTACATCTGAAAAGTCGTGGCGCTGGAAACGAAACATGACCAGGCCAGGCCCTATGAACTGTTTAGACAATTATTAGTTATTATGTTTTGAGATGCTTTAGGGCTCCTTCTGCCTGGCTTGGGGGCATCCCAACGCGTTGTGAGGGGGTGAAGATCGCCAATCGTGTCGCGAGGCCGCGCAGCTGGAAACGCTGGATCATCGCATCCACGCCTTGGAGTGAGCAACCAAGGGGATGAAACGAGGAGACGAGATACGTGAGAGGTGGTTGGGTTGTTTGTGTTGGGAAGTTCGGCATACCTTTTTCTGTTGGATGGCTGTTCTTCATTGTTGTTCAGCACTAACTTGTGCACAGACCCGGGAGCTTGTGACCAATTGATGGCCGACGAGCCCTTTTTCCTAGTGAATTCATGAGCATTCCACCAGCTTGAACTATATGCACACAGTCTTGTTCCCTCCTTAAGGCGCAGCAATACTTCAACCATTTGTTGAGCCCATCCCAGAATGCCAACATAGTCCAGAGTTAAAACAGCTCAATTGCAGCAATTTTGCGACAAAGACGGGGGCCCAACACCTCCAAAGAAGACAACCGAAGCTTTGACTCCATTGCGTTTCCTCCCAGGTCTCACGTGAACCAGGGTCATGGCCGTTTGCAAGACACCCTGGCCGCTCGGACCAGAGACAAACCTCCCGGCGGGGGGGCGGCGACCCCGGCGAGTTCGTTCGGGGGCCACGCAGCCGAGCTTCGACGAAGATCCGAGGAGCGTTTGGTGGACCAGCTGAAGCGCCTCATCCCGGAGCCCCGTGCAGGTGCGGCCTCCTGCGGGAGTTGGAGGGAGGGGTCGGAGCGGCAGGGCCTCCTGTTGAAGAGATGGAAAACAATAGGAATGAGCAGAAACGAGCCAAAATTCAAATGTGGCTATCCCAGTGATCACCCCATCTAGCAGCTAGATCTGGCAATGGTTTAAAGTTGAAAGGGTTGTGCCATGTAGGAGGGTTGCCTTGACAACTTTTCATGGGTCATGCATCCTTGTAACGGTTCGGTGGAAACCCCTGTCTTAAGTCCAAGAAGCCCTGGAAGCGGCGTTTGTGCCATCAACGTCCTCATTTTTGAAGACCTCTCGGTAGTTGTAGTATGCTTCAGTGCTCTAACTAGGTCACCGAGTTCAATTTGCTGGAGCGCAGGCGCCCTGGTCGAGCGCACTCAGCAGACCACCCCCCCGACGTCCATCGAAAGGGGTGCGGGCCAAGAGATGACGGCCGTTTCGAGTCGTTTGGAGTCGTTCTGATGGCGACGGTTCCCGGACACTTGAGTCGGTTTTAGATGGTTTTACCAGTGCGTTGATGTGTTTGGTTTGTTGCCCGGCATTTCAGAATATCACATTCTCGTCAAGGAAGAGAGAAAGCGTTTAGCCTACAGATATATAATCATCGTGCGGACCCACTCATGATTCTTTTTTCCTAGGGCATTTCTACTAGGAGCGAGGATGCTACTAGTAGCTCCTGGCATTATTGCTAGGAACAAGAAGCTACTAGTAACAAAGGGCATCGCTACTAGTAACAAGAAGCTACTAGTAGCTACTGGGGATGGCTGGGCTTTTTGGATCGTTCCTGAACCCGTGCGGGCTGACGTGCCAGTTCAGGCGATTCAGCCACCAAGCCGATCACAGAAGGAGGACCACTGCTGGGGTTTCGGAGGGCTGAGTGGAATTCGCTCGTTCATGGACAGACAAGGTTGATCGAGGTTCACACACTTTACAGATCTAGCTAGTAGTGACTGGCAAGGCTACCTGTCCGGTGTGTTTGAGAGCTCTGGGAATTGGGGAGCCCCCCCCCGCAAAACGGTTGGTGAAGGGCCTACCTTAGGCGTTTCACACAATTTAGATCATAGTTCTTAGGTTAGGGCAGAGGATGGCACCAGGGCAAGCACGGCTCAAAATGCTGGAAGGATGTGAGTGAAGGACCGCGAGAAGTAGGACTAGTAGGACTAGGTCAAAGCCTGGCCTTCGAAGCCCCCAAACGATGGGGTGAGTGAGGGCCACGCCGCACAGCGCTGCACAGCTGTAGACGACCAAAGTGTCGTGAGTCGTGAGGTGAAATCGGCTAGAGCTTTTGCTGGCCAAACCTGCAATCCTCCTGTTTTCTGAGTGCCTTACTTTGAAGTTCAGTCTTTTGACATATAAGATGTATTGCTGCATGTTTGTGAGACATTGGCCATGCAGGTTTGATCCACTTTCAAAAGGGTCCGCAGAAGAAGGTCCTGTTTCCAAGGACTCCTGGACCCTCGCAGCAATCGCGCCGGTTTCCCGCAGCCAAAGCCGCGGAATAAAAGACTGGAAAGGAGGGATGGCCCGAGAGCCTTCTTTTCCCAGCAGCTGGTTGGGGCAGAGTATAATGCATCCAAAGAGTTGGCGCGCCCAGTGAAACCTTCCAGTGATGCCAACTATTTTCCTTACAAGTTCTTGTAGGGAATGTCGGGGCAGGATCTTCATGTTCTCTTTGTATCTCTTGTGGCTTTGAAGGAGCTTCCCAGTCCATCGACTTCCCTTTCCATCCTTTTCCTTGCTGGCTGCCTCGCTTGTGATGCCCAGCGTTGAAACCTCCATCCAGGCCGTTGAGCGGGGGCCACCCCCCAAGAACATCCCCATGGCTTGGGTTGAGGCGTGGGTGCCGTGTCGCGGGCGCAAGCGGGCGCAAGCGGGCGCAAGTCGCACGCGGTCTGTGGCACTGTCCACGACTTGGCGCTTCGCACTTGAAAGTATTGTCGTTCTCAAATTGGCTGTAGTGGTCACTACCCCTCTGGTTTCTGGTTGGTGGGTGGATTCGATGTTCTCCTGGGCGCTTGGCGCTCATGACCCCCCCCTGACCTGACAAGGAGGAGCCGCCGGCGCCGCCGGCTCCACCACCGCCGGTGCCAGCGCCCGTGCGGGGCCTGAGGGTTTCTGAGACGGGGAGGTTGGGGACGGGTGACTTTCTCAAAACTACTAGGAGCAATGTTCGCTACTAGGGGCTCCTGGCATCGCTACTAGGAGCAAAGGACGCTGCTAGGAGCAAACCGTGCAGTGTTTGAGTTGTACCCCATCTTGGCCGAGGAGTGGCTAGGGCCTAGGGTGATGTTTCATCCGCCAAAGGGTGGCCGAGCAAGCAATACCTGCAACTTCGTCGGCTTGGCAGTTGAGGCTCGACACCCGGCCATTCTTGTAGAAAGCTAAATCCAGTTCTGCCCGTCTCTTGCGCCTTGCGGATCGTTTCAAGCTGCTGAATACAGCAGAACAGTGGCTGTTTTCACCAAGGTTAGCACCCCCAGCTTTTCGCAGAGCATGTTTGGAAGCCCAGACCGGACAAGATCTCTCGACCTGCGCCCTGCGTCCGGGGGAGCAGAGTTCAAGCGTCCTGCGAAGAGCCAGGAGTGCCAGGAGCCCTAGTAGTACGGCCAGGAGCCCCTAGTAGCATCCTTGCTCCTAGTAGCGATGCCAGGAGCCCCTAGTAGCTTCTTGTTTTGATGGCTCTGGGGAAAGAAGACAGAGCTGCGGACTTTGCACTTGGCACAGCAAAGCTGCACACTGGATGACAGGTTCCGATGCCAAGACGAAGTGAATGCTCCATCTCCTTCATTTGCACCACCTCATAAACAGCCGCTGAGAAAGGCTATTCAGCTATTCTCCAGCTTCTGTTTCATTCACCCAAGCAACTCAGGCCCATTTCGGCCAGTGCGGAGCCCCACTGAGCTCATGGGGGGATTTAGTGCATCCGCTTGGAGCAGCATGCAGCGCCCGACGTTTTTCACTGTTTTCCGGCTGGACGTCCATGTCAAATGCCGTGTCTTAGGCAGTGCTGGCTACCTCCCGCCGCAAAGCATCGGCGTTGGCGGGGGCTGTCGATGGGCGAGTGAGAGGGGTGAGCCGATTGCATTGATGGGTCGGAAGATGCTTCACCCCAGTTTAGACTCTGGTACAGAGGAAAGATTGCTATTTCGCTCTAGATTCGAGTTCAGCACACCAGAAAGCATGCCTCGCCGGAGGCAGCCTCCGGGACATGAGGGACGCCCGCGATGCACGCGATGCACGGGAGGTCCAATGGGAATGGGAGGTCTGTGGGTTCTGTGAAGAATTGTGGCCAATTTGGGGCCCCGAAGCACCAGAGAAAGAATTGAACTAGAAGCCACGTGACTTCTTGCATAGGAATTTGCCGGTCACTTCTCCTCTAGGCCATCCGACGCGCTGGTCATGATTTCGAGTGTTGCGTACATGGCCGGCATGGCCGACATACCCTGCCTCAGATGGCGGCGCCTCGACTGGCCTTCACACAGGCCTGCCGGTGATGAGCAAAGCATACATGTGGTGGGGGAGATGGCAGGTGCTGTTCCAAGCTACCATGATCTTGAGTAGGTCCGTTCAATGTGGCTTTCGGCACAGGCATGGCAACCAACTTCTTTGGACTCTTTGCAGTTAAATTTTCCCTCAGTTTCTATATTTCATTCGTTGCAGCTGCATCTGCATCTGAAAAATGGTTGGGGTTCTCCATCAGCATTTGGTTTGATTTGGAGACCTCGACTCCTCTTAACGAGTTCAGGGGTCGATGTCCAACACTTGGGCCGCTCCAGTTGCACAGGCCCAGAGAACGGGAGAGCGGACAGTGAGAACAGATAGGAGCCATTGATGGTTGCCTGAGACATGGCTTGAACAAACACATGGCCAGAAAGTCACATGGTGATAGTGGAGAAACACTGCAAGGAGGCTTGCTGGTGTAGTAACTGTTGCAAGGCCAACTGCCAATCACTTGGTCAAGTGTTGTGTGTACCTTGCCTTGCCAGTTGGGTGTTTGTTTGACCAATGGCCATCGCCCCTCGAACCCTGCGCCAGGCGCCGATGCCACAAAGAGGGCCAACCAATCACATCAGGGACTCCTTGACAGGCTCGAGTCGCCGGAATGGCGGAAGGCTGACAGCTCCTCAACGGACCCCAATGTTACGTCCAGGGAGCTGTGAATGTTTTTCCATTTTGAGCTCGATGAATTTAAATTGATTCTATCTCTTGTGTTGTAGGGGTGTGTGGCGTGACGGGGACGTGAGGTTTTGACTTAAATCCATTTGTCCTATGTGATTCATTGTCAGAAATCCCACCCTCTCAATGTTAGTTGTCCTGTTGGATCATCAAGCACACTTGCCGGCAAAGCATTTCATTCACTCGGAGCATCAGACATAGCTTCCAACCTAGATGTTTGACTGGAAAGGCATGGAAAGGCTATCAACACAAAGGAACTTTTGACAGAAAGTGTTGACAACAATGCCCGACCTAAAGCACCGCCCGACCGAAGCCACAGAGATCCCGAACCAGGCCCACCAAGCCGGCGCGCGTCGGGGTCCGAGCATGGCTGGGAGCCCAGCAGCAAGAGGCAAGCACACGGCCAGGCCAGGGGCATCCAGGGGCGGTGTATCCAGACTCCAAGAGACTCCAAGGGGCAGCTGCTGTGAGTCTGTGAGTTGTGTTGTTTCTTCCCTGGTGATGGACCCCCAACCCCAGTGACCGTGACACCGAGGCAGCCGGCCCGGATCACGTGAGCCCGGAGGCCGAAGGAAGGCCGAAAGAAGGCGGAAGGCGGTGAGATGGGACTCCTTGTTGTATAGCTTTTACTGTTTTGGACCCCTTGGATCACTGCCCAACTATGGATACAGCGTCAGCACACGCGGTCAAAGAGCTCGATCTCTCAATCTGTTGGGTTTACTGACTGTGAAGTGATTGCAGATGGACCCTAAAAGACTGTGAGTCCGAATAGTTCTCCACACTATTGAGCCTCATCATTTTTCTGCTATCTCAGGTGCTCTGCAGCTGATCAAGGCATTTGTTAGACATTGAGGGGCATATGCAGTACTTACACAATCTGATACATCGCGTTGGATGATGCTAGCAGGTTGGCGGAGAATTATTACTACAGCAGAAGATGTTTGCAACGTATTGCATAGCTACAAGCTCGGCACCAAGAACCAGTTCGAACAAGATTAAGACCCACAGGTAGGCCCAACAAGAACAATGCAACCAAAGCACAAACAGAGTTATAACGGACTTGACTCCACAGCTCAAACACGAACTCCAGCAAGTCCCACCTCATCCAGACTCCATGACGCATGGCAGCTTCGGTGCTACAAGCAGCTCGTCAGGAAGTGCAAGGAGACTGGTCTGAATGTGCACCTCACTGTGCGCCTTTGTGGCGGCGCCCCTCGCATGGCCCAGGCTCCAGGAGCCAATCAGCAGATCCACCAGCCCTGGCGCCCCTGGAGAGGAAGGACGAGGCGAGCCACGGCAGCCACGGCCACGGCCGCGGCCGTGGCTCGAGAGGCCGCGATCGACTCTTGAAGCCCAGCAGTCGATCGCCCTCGTCGGAGGGATCCTGTGACGGGCGCAGCGAAGAGGTGCGCTTCGAACAGTTCGACAGCTCGGCTGATGGCTGTGATCACGTGGACCCTCTTTCCAGTGAGCTCCATCAGGTGGAGCAAGAGCTGGAAGAGCGGCAGCATTATCTTCTTGAAGTGAAAGCCAATGGACGGGCTCTAGAAGAGAAGCTGGAGGAAACGGAGAAACATGCGAGACACTTCCAACAAGCAGTCCTGGCTCTAGAAGCTGGCTTGCGCGAGGCAGACGCTGAGGAATCAGAACCCCATCGAGAACTCCGTAGCACTGCGCGAGGAGCAGAATTCACAAAAGAACCAGCACCATCTCCTTTGGACACCCTGGTTGGTGAGTGGGCCCGCGCCCGTGCAGCCATTGGGCTTGATTGAAGAAGTGTTGTCTCAGCCGAGTTGAGCTTTTTGTGGTGTTTCATTTTTGCCGACAAACACGTGTTGCCGACAAACATCGTTTCACTCACCGAACGGTGAACGCGATTTGGGAAAAGTGCCGTGTGCGGGGCGATGGCGCTATGCTTCACGGTAGAAAGGACAGACCAAAGGACCAAAGAGCTGGAGTAGTTGGTAGGGACCCCAAACACGTGGCCTGCTGTGGATTTAGGGGTGTCTATGACTTCCCTCAAGAGCTGTTCGAAGAGTTGTTCCTGTTCACCGACCTGGTCGGATTGTTTTTTTTGCAACGCGGGAGCTGAGGCCATCACCGAAGACTTCACCTGCCGATCGCTATCCGTCGCTTGGTGGCATGAACTCCCTGTTTTCTGGACGATGGCGGCATGTGGAGCTGCAGAACAAAAAGGTAAGTCACAAGGTCACAAGAGTAGCATGATGGCATTAATTCCGTTTATAAGTTTTTTTTAATATTTTGTCATTGGGTTCATCTGTATACCTTTTGAGATCCGGCTGCCGAGGCAGAGAGGCGAATCGCCACAAAGAGGTGTCTGCACCTTAGCTGTTGGTCACCTGCACGCCGCGCGCAAGCTTTGCAACGAGGGGCCGTTGGCGGAGGGCTGGGAGATCTGAGAGCTTTTTGGCTCACTTCTGAAAGAGTCCATATGCCAACCCTCTTACCAAGCCCTATATGGGGTCCCTATCAATGATCAATGCTTTTTGACTTCCACTAGCAGATCCAGGAGTCGCCCATGCGGCTACCGAACCGTGGGGGCCGAACTGGAAGCACGGGCGCCCAAAGCGTGGAAGGATGAAGGGCCGATGCCCAAGGCCCTGCCCCTTGGGCCGTTGCCGGGGAACATCTGAGCCGTAGGTGAGCCTTGCTTTGGAAACGTGGACCGATTCATGATTTAGCACACAAACTCAAACACACACAAAATCACACGCGCACAACATCAAGTTCCCATGAAGTTCCATGAACCAGGATTGAGAAAGAAGCCCAAGTCAGAGCACATATCCCCAGTAAATGCTACTCATACTCCTCACCTGCATTCCAGTTGGATCTAGATGATTCCCTTTGTGGCTTTGCTTCTTGTCCTACAGGATTGCTTGTACTTCGATATTGCTGCACTCCTCTTGGCTCAAGCAATTGAGTAGTGCGGGGCTCACAGGTCTTGAAAGTTGTGCTTCTGGGCAGCCATGTGGGGGGGATGCCGGGCTCGGAGCAGTGATGAAGGGAAATAAACATCCGTAGGAGTTGAGACCCTTTTAACAAGTGGTTTGACCAGTGGAGTGTCGCCCATCTATGCCCATCTAGCTTTTTCTCAAGTGGAGCTAGCGCAGCTAGTGCCTCACCTTTGTAATCTCCAATGTGTTGGAGCTTGCACATGCACACAGCATTCACACAGTCCAGGATTCGTGACTCGCGGGTAAGGTATCGACAAATATGGGGGAGCAGCGGTTATCAGCGGCTTAGGTTGATGGGGAACTCTAAGTTTACCTTCTGCTAGGCAGGGCTTGAATTGCCGCAGAGTGTCATCAGACACCATTTCTTTGCACATTTGGTGGCTCAGGCTCTGGAAGATGAGTTACGAGCCGAAGAATATCCTCATCACCGGCGGTGCTGGATTCATTGCCAGCCATGTGGCAGAGCATTTGTTTTTCAAGTATCCCAAGTACAAGATGCTTGGTTCTCAAAATGATTTCCTCAAGGGCTTATCCAGGGTGACTTTCTGAAGAGCTCGGCCTGCACCATCCTAAAATCGCCGTGTTTATAGAACTGACACATGCAGACGACCAGCATGAGGAACGTGAGTTGTGTGGTTCTACTCAGTTCAGATGGGCACAGGCAAAGTTGGGGGCAAAACAGTTTTTATGACTTATGGCATGTCATTATGGGCATCGCTATTGTTCTGTGAGACGCTCCGCCTGTGTTGTGTGAGGATTGTGATCTTGGATCGCCTGGACTACTGCGCCAACACCAAGAACTTTGAGTCTATGGTGGCCTAGATGTGCCAAGAACCAATATTGTGGAACTGTCGAACCAATGAGATCGAACTTTCGATTGCTTCTGACGTAGTTTGTGCCTCACAGCCAGCCCTGTTTGTTCGATTTGGCTTCGGTGGTAAGCGGGTGTCAGTGTCAAGGCTGGAAAGCCCAACTTCAAGTTCGTGAAAGGCGACATCAAGAGCCCCGATCTGATGCACTATGTCATCAAGCAGGAGGACAGGTGGACCAGGAACTGTTCTTCTGGACTCAGCTAAGTGAACATTAATTTGGTTTATATATATATATATGGCAACTGTATGAGGCCCCCCAAAATTTGTGCTGATTTGCTCACGTGACCTTCAGCAAACTTTGCTAATTGCTTGCAGTCCCGTGCTGCGCATGTGATGATTCTCACAGAGTTCACAGGTCCTGGATCTTTGCACTCTTAAACAGGAGGTCTGAACTGATTGAACGGAGCAGACAGCTGCACAAGCGGACAGACGCAATTCGGAGGTGGACAGGCTTGCCCCTTCGTCCCACCGGAACTCGCGATCGATCCGTGGGGTCCCGCGGAGCCGTGTGGGCGCCGTGTGGGCGCCGTGTGGGGCAGGAGATTGACACCGTGATGCATTTTGCGGCACAGACCCACGTGGACCTCTCCTTCGGGAACTCGGTGACCTTCACGGATGACAACGTTTTAGGCACCCACCGAGACTAGGCAAGATCTCGGTGCCAGCGGGGTTCCCATTTTGGGGCATGTAAAAGTGGGTTTCTACTTCAAGTTGTGCTCAATTTGGCTCATGGGGACAGCAAACGGACACGGACGATTTCAAGTTGAAGGGTGCGGTTGCTGAGTGTTCGATCTTCCACTTACCAGATTCTGACACTGTCGGACCTGTCCTGCCCTTGAGTCCTGTTTGGGCAATTCAGGAATCCTTGAAGTGCTCAAGGAGAACAAGAACCAAGTTTTGCGCTACATCCATGTGAGCACCGATGAGGTGCATCCAGGTTGTCGTGATTGAACGGGTGATCTAGGTTGGCACATCTAAGATTGTCTAAATCTACGTGAAGTGTGAGGTGTGAGCTTTTATGATCTTGTGCGAAGTGCTGGGGATCTGTGCGCTAGCACAAGAGATCTTTGGAAGTATAGGAGTATAGGAAGCAACGCTGTAGTTTAGTGCCACGCTGCAGTTTCGGAAGAGGTGCCCATCCTTGGTAGGTGACCAGCCATGCTCTCTCTCACTCTGGCCCTGCCTTGGTCAGGTGTATGGTGAGAATGCCAGCTACAGCGATGAAGCAGACATGAAGGTGGGCTGTACTGGTGAACTGTTGCACTTCCATGGATTCCCTTTGGCTCACACCGATGTGGCATCAGAGCGTTGCCAGCTAGATAGAAGGCTCAGGTTCTCTTTGGCGGCTTTTTCGTGGTGTGAGGGCGTACGGCACACACACACACAAACACTTGCTTGTCGCATAGAACCATTAAGGCATCGCTTTGTTGTGAACACAGGCGCCAGGTTCAAAGCCCGACATTTTCACGTTTCCAGACGTTGTGTTCCAATTTCTTCGACTTCAGCAGCCCCTTCCCTCTCAGCGACCGACCCATCTGTTCCTGCCAGGTGGAGGCGACCTCCCCCCCTAGACCCCACCAATCCCTACGCGGCGTCAAAGGCCGCGGCCGAGATGATGGCGGCTTGGCGGCTGTGGGGGCGATGGGACGGAGGAAGAGGCGTTCCGAAGGCGTGCCGAAGGCGGTGATGACATCCTTGAGCTGGAAGAGAGTTGCCCTGAAAGAGGCATGACACTTCAGAATCACCCCGTTGGGCCCGTTGTACGGGCCATGGGCTTCAATCATTTGGATTCGTGGAGCGCTTCCGTTGTGGGCTCAGGTGAAGTCATATCATCGCTCCTATGGTCTGCCTGTGCTGGTGACCCGCCAGGGGGCTCAGGGGGCTCCTGTCGTCGCCTCTGGGGTTTGAGATATCGATCCTGTCAGGGATCGTCCAAGGATGTGAAAGTCTTCATGTCCAGAGTCAGAGGATGTTGGACATTTTGGACCCGCCAGGTGGAAACAATGTCTATGGCCCGCGCCAGTACCCAGAGAAGCTCATTCCGAAGATGATCATGATGTTGCAGAGGACAGAGTCAGAGCAATACGTCCGAAACACTGAGCCACCTATACAAATTTCTAGAGGGACACATCAACAGTGACACAGATGGAGAAAGGTTGCCGACCACCTTGAACAAACATGAACATCCGTTCGATCTATTTTGCTGTGAATATGACCGCTTGCATAGCTCCCTTTGTCAGGGGTATATACATCTCCTGTGAGCATGCCGTGTGCTGCCTTGCTTGATGAAGGTTAGGCTTTATGCCACTGAGGTTCCTGTTTCATGTTTATAGCCACTGCCAGGAACAAGAAGCTCACCGTGCACGGCGACGGCGTCAGCAAGCGATCGTACCTGCACGTGAAGGCGATACGGCGAATACTGCATGAGCGAAGCCCCTCCCACCGTATCGCCTTGGGGGTTGAGAAATCTGCTTGGAGCGAACGCAGCGAAGGCAGTTTCGTCAACCGGAATTCCTGAATGATGGCGGCAGGATGTGGCGGCCGCCTTTGACATTGTGCTGCACAAAGGTGTCACAGGCCAAGACTTCGCTCCAAAAAAAGCAACTGTTTGTTGCCCGGGCGGTTTGGCAGACGCTGTAGCTCGACGCTAGCTTGCACAGATGACGTGCCTTCCATGCTTGGCTGCAATGGGAGTTGTAAAGGAGGCCATGATGTCACCGGCATGTATTGCATCTTCATATAGAATATATACATACATATACTGATACTTGTAGCCGGAGGTAGTGGTGGATTGAAGCCTCTGGCATTGTGTGCAGGCAGCACGTACAACATTGGCACAGCTGAAGAACACTCCGTGATTGATATCGCGACTCGTCAAACAAACAGATGGCAAAAGTGAAAAGTGGTTGGAGATCGTTGGAGCGGAATTGTCAGCTGGTTCGATGCCTTTGTTGTCCAAGCCATCGAACACAAACACGCTGCGCATATGCCGTTGAATCCATGTGAAGCAAAGGGTAATTAGCTACTTTAGGGATGCACAGGCACAGCCAAGGTGGCTAGTTTGCTCAAATTCGATATGCACGGCGTGTCCGCATGTCTCACTAGAAGGAGCTCCCTCTATAAATCCAGTGGTCAATGGTGAGCAAGGACATTGGCTTCGTTGGGGCGTGTGCATCTAGGAAGTGCCAGCTGGTTGCTCCTGCCATTGATCCAGGGCCTTCTTCACAAGTAACTGCAAACTTGCCTTCTCGGGATCTCACACTACTGCATGGCACCCCGGAGATGAAGGAAACTCTGTTTCGGAAGGGCCATGAAAGGCACTGATTTTCTCCAAACAGTTTCTATTTTCAGGTAGGATGAGCTGGTCTTTCTTCCTCATGTGGCCCGATTTCAGGTGAAGCAGATTATCCGCATGATGAAGCCAGACGTGGAGCCGGAGAAGATGATTGAGCACGTGCGAAACCGGCCGCTTGCATTTTGACCCTTCGATTCTATGAGGGCCAGAAATTAGGATTGAAATAGACCGGCTTTCGTGCTTGCAGTGACAGGCAGGTCTATTTCGATGGTGAACATTTTGACGTCCAGGCTTTTTGAGCGTTTTTTGCCAGTGTTCTAGGGAGGGGATGGAGAGGACACTGTGGAAGCTGCGAGGCCGTTCAACGACATGCGCTACTTTTTGGACCTCCGTCAGCTTGAAAGTCTGGGCTGGAAGGACAGGTGGTGACAGGTGTGCATTTTCATGTCTTTCCTCTTGTGCTCATCTCTCCATGGTGGCCTTCCTGCAACATGCAGATAACGTGGGTACTGCACAGTGGCTACCGTTCAGTGAGAACAGGAGGGAGAGGCCCTAAGTCTACGGCCAAGTCGGTGGCAAGCTGACTAACGAACCTCATTCTACTGTAACACTGTATATTAAAAAGAACCGTTTTACTGCTTAAGCATATATGGTGACCTCAAAGAATTAGGCATGAGTCAGCTTTCGAGTTGATGTTCGGAACGTCGTAATCGCCAGGAGACGATCAAGTTCGACGAGGGGCTCAAGCAAACCGTGGACTGGTTTAGCTCCTTGGCCCGCATTGGCCAGCATGGAGTGTCGGGAGTGTCGGGACTGTAAAAGGAAAATGACAAGGACAATTGGTAGCCCAAGACCTCTCCCGCATTTGATTTCATGGAGTGCGGACGGAGGGTACCGGGTAGCTGTTCCCCAGAGAGACAGAAGAATGTCATACATGAGAGAAGCCGGAGGTCAATCCATTGGGGAGCTATTCAAGTGTCCAATTTTTGAAATGCTGGTTTCCCAAGGCAACTCCCCTTCTGGCACGTTCCTCTTCTGAGGCTCAAGGCCTGAACTCATGGAGATTCATAGAGTTTCAGGTGAAACCTTTGCCGTCAGTGAGGATGAGTTCCTGAGCATGGTGGAAGATCGGCATACTGTTGGGGACCTGAAGCGGTTCCTTGCAGTGGGTTGGCTACTCAAGGTTTCAGCAAAGACTACGATGGGTTGGACAAGTTGCCTGACGCCATCCTTTATAAGAGCACTGTTTGAAAGAAGTGTGCAATTGCTCATCAGGGGATTTTGCTGCCCTCATGAAGGAGAGGAGAGGGCGCTACTTCGAGCATGTGAGCGGAATGATATTTAAAAAGTTGAGAAACTGCTGCAAAGACCAGAGAAGCCGAATGGATGCCTGCGTGCGGGTGGGTCAACATTTTTGACGCTTGCAGCTCAGAATGGCCACTTGGGCAGCGTCAAAAGCCTCTCACAAACCGTTTAAGCAAACTTGTAAACGCCAACTTGCCCGCGGAAGCCAAAACTCCGGTCGTGGAAGCTCGCGGAAGCCACCGCGTGAGTCTGTGTAAGTATATGGTAAAATTCACCACCGCTGAAGCTTTGCGGAGGTGCATATTTTTTCTTCTTGCCAATGCTAAATTCTTCTACTACTAAGGAGATCTATCTAGCCTATGAGCACTTTTTAGAAATACGTTGTGGAAGTGCCGCGGAAGAGGATTTCAACCCAACATGGCCCGCGGAAGCCATGTAACAGATCGTAGACAGGTTTTTGACACAGTTCGACTTCAAAGCTGTGCTGTTGCTGCTCGAAGCTCGAGCTGACAAGGATGCACAAAGAGGAGATGGGTCAACGTCTTTGATGCTGGCAGCTGCGAATGGCCGCTCGGACGTCGGACGTAGTGAAGTTGCTGCTCGAAGCTGGAGCTGACAAAGATGCACGTGAAGATGGGTGAACGGCTTTGATGATTGCAGTTGCAGGAAACGACTTGGGCGTTGTGCGGTTGCTGATCAAAGCTGGAGCCAACAAAGATGCACAAAGCAAAGACGGGTCAACGGCTTTGATGATTGCAGCTGAGGGGGGCAACTTGCACATAGCGAAGTTGCTGTTCAAAGCTGGAGAAGACAAAGATGCACACGGTAAAAATGATGCAGCACGTGAAGATAGCTCAAAAGCTTTGATTGATTCAGCGCAGAACGGGCACTTGGATGTTGTGATGTTATTTCCTGCTACTGGAGCATACCATGATGCACAACGCTCAGATGGGTCGACGACTTCGATGCTGGCAGCTGAGAATGGCCACTCGGACATAGTGGAGTTGCTGCTCGAAGCTGAGGCCAACATAGATGCGGAAGCTGACTATGGGGGTTGCTGATCAAAGCTGGAGCTGACAAATCTGGAGCGGCATTGGTGTGTCTTGCTTCCTATGCTGGCAAGTTGTGCGAAGTGGCCTCTCTGACTTGTGGCAACCTCCTGCTTCAAGGCACAATCACAGAATTTCCACTTGGCCACTCAGAGCAGCAATAAGCAAAGCTATGACCCCATCATGGGATTATTATGAGGCACTGCGTCGGGGTCAGCTTTCAGCTTTCAGTAAAAATAACTGCACGACTTCCATGTGGCCGCATGGCCTTTAAATGCGCAACGCACATGGCAGTTAACCCATCTTCAAATGCAGCATCCTTATCAGCTCCATCGACCAACAACCGCACAACTTCCAAGCAGCCTGTTTTTTTTCGCTGCGATGAACACGGCGGATGCCCGGTTGCAGTTGCAGCATCTTGATCAGTTGCCGCCTCGAGCTCGTGCTAGCAAAGATGCAACAAAGGCTTGAACACTGCAGCTGGGAAAAGCCAATTGAAAAGCTGTGTACCTGCTGTATGAATCTGAGAAACAAGTGATACACCTTGTTCAGAAATCAATCCAGTCCATGATGGGATCCCCCCGTGGGTTGGGTATTTTCGGACTTATTGTTTTCATACTGGATCACCGAGACGTTCACAAATATATACGGCAACTAGGACTACAGACAGGTTCACACACACACACACACCCCTGTGGTCTACACGAAAACGGTGATATGAGATATGCAAACAGTTGCGATCCAAAGTATCCTACATAGAATGCTCACCCAAATCACCGGAAGAAAAACCCAAAGTATGTTTTCTTGCTTCTCCAAGGTTGGAGATAAAGATGCAAGAAGGTTCACTTATCCGAACCAAGAGGGTCAAGGGCCCCTAGGCCCCTATCCACAAGGGGGCGGACATGCAACTGATTTTCTTTTTGAATGAATCAGCACTTCCTCTCTCGTTGTTCTGTATCGACCTCCTTTTTTTTTAAATTGCCTGAAGGGAGCCAACTTCGATGCCAGTGGAAACTAGCCAAGCTCCAAACAGAACTTGGACGGTGGGTTGATCGAATTCCGTGCTGCTTGCCTCGATCCGTGCAGTTCCGGACGAGCAACACTGATGTTGGCCCTCGTTCGACATCACCCACTTGCTCAAACTGTCCAAAAAGCTTTGCGATCGAGGAAGCCTGCGGAACAGCTTTGGTTTTGCTTGATTCTGTCTTTCATGAGGCGTGCATGGCGCCAGCTTCTGGGATTGCTGCGATTTGGATTCAGTGCTGGTAGCGCACCCCGTGCCGCTGGTGGTGCCTGCGCTGGTGGACTCTCAGGACGCTGACCCTTGACCGAGCCACTGGAGGGTCGACGAACCGACCAGATTGGGTGTTGTGGTTTTGTCCTCGTCTTCTGGGTGTGTCATTCCATGGCTTAGATGATAGTGTATTTTTGGCATTTTTTGGCTGTGCCAGGGGCTCGAAGGTTTGGGGAATTCGGAATTGTGGGCACCCAGAGGTTTGCCTGGAGATGTGCTGCAGACGTGTGGGGTAGAGTCCATTCAGAGCTCCCTGCATATATTGACATGCCTTGGAGGCCAGCAGTGGCCAACCACCGGCTAAGAAGGTGCGCGAGCGGCCAGCAAGTGTGAGATAGTCGGGCATTCCGATGAATTGGTGTGGCCCATTCCCACTCACAGCTTCCGTCAGTATTATGACTCGATCATGTTCTTGGTGCGTTTGTCGCCGGCTTTCCACAAGGTGTTTGTCCCCACATGTTTTAAGATGGTTTGTCCCGCAGGCGAAGAAGGTGAAGTTCTTGGTCTTTGGCAAGCTGGGGGCCTAATTGTGGGCGTGGACAGAGCGAGAACTCTCTCAGTGGCGGAAGCAAACCACTCCAAACTGATTTTGCGACAGCCGTACTATTGAAAAAGTCAGTGTATGTCAGTGGTTCGAAACCTCCTAGCGCGGTGCATTCCACTGCGTGGCCTCATCGCCCTAGGACTGGGTGGATTGGCGGAATGATCGGCAATTTGCTCACGCAGAAGGGCTTCGCTTGGGAGTGCCTTCGAGCGCGAGAGAGCGCCAGGCCCTGCCAGAGATTCAGTTCCAAAGACATCTGCGTTTTGGTGGTTTTATTGAATTGAGATCAGATCTTGAACTATGGAATGCATATAGTAGAATTTGCCCAGATTTACATAAAATGACATAACAGTGTTATGATTTTCTGCTGCTTGGGGTCTTGACGCATCGCTTCAGGTAGCAGGCTAGGGATTTGCGGCTTCTCCTATTCCTAACCCGCGGAAAAGGGTGTCTAGTTTTTGTGGCCTAGAGCCTAAGATAGCCGGAGACAGCCGGACAGGTGCGGTAACTGGAATGCCTCCACAGTCCTTTTCGTCTTGTCCCTGCTACCGCAGATGTTTGCATTTCGATCTTAGTCTCCTATGTTGGTTCCGTCTTGCCCCCCTTGGTCTCCGGCCTTTAGGGAAGTTGCAGTTAGGTGTCTAGTCATGCCCGCCAGAGAAAGAGAGAGAGGTGCGTCAACTGGGCAGATCAAACCCACCCATGTTGCAGGAGACCGGTTCAAGAAAAGACTTCTCTGATATAATCCAACTTTCCTCGTTTTGGCCTCACCGAGGTGGGCGAATTCCCGACTCCAAGATCGAGAGTCGGTGGAACGCGAGTTGCTCCACAGCGGCTGCACTCACGTGTGCCGCGGCTGGTGGGGTCTGGAACCGGGGGTCCGAGTACCCAAGGCGATGCGACTGTGGTTTTGAGGTGATAGCTGAACTAGGGGCAAGTCTTTGCCAACAACGAAGTTTGATGAGGACGTATCCAGAATCCTCTCATCAGCTTCATGAAGCCTCTACCTGTCCTGCTTAGAAGAAGTGGATTTTCAGCACAGTTCCTGAGCTCGGATCATGTTTATGCCAAAGTGCCACACAAAATTGATATCAAGACCCAGGAATTGTGTTGCATCCTTTGTTTTTGATGCCTCCACAGACTCTGTCACAGACTGCCCCAAGGATGAATGCGGCAGGTGTGACTGGGCGACCCAATGTGGACTGGTGTGAGACGCATCGGCAGGAACGTGGGGCTTGGGGATGGGGTCAAGGCATTTAATTCCAGAAATGCTTCGGTTGCAGTCTTTCAGAAAAGAGCTCCTCCCTGAGTTTGCTCCCTGCGCTTGTTCCTCATTTCTTCTCTCCTGCGAGGAGACAATTCGCGTAAATGTCATCGGTACCTTGACCCTGGCTGACCTTTGCGCCATGCACGGTATCCACATGACCAACTTTGCCACAGGACTGCCTTGAAGGGCCTTGTTCGTTGCAGTTCCTTAGAAAACTCGATACCCCCCCCACTGCTTCTTTGAACTTGGATGCATGACGCCAGCCCCCAACATAGCCTTCTGTGATGCCAGAACTGATGGGCATCACAGGCTCTTGGACTCTTGGCAGCCAGACTTCAAAAGTCGGCTAAGTCATGTTGGATTCTTGCAGGATGCATTTTCCACTATGACCAGAGCAAGCCAGAGAAGGTGGAGCGAGACGCCTCCTTGGTGGCCAAGGATGCGTCCAAGACCTTTAGCAACTCAGGCAGATCTAAGAGCCCCTCTTCAGGGACTCAATGACTGGTGAAGGAACGGCCCGGAGTTCTCGAGTCTCAACTCTCCCCCTCGTGTGATCAATCAAGAAGTTTCAGAATCAATCACTTTTGTTTCCGCGTCGAGCTCTCTGTGTCAAGCGTGTCAACTCTGGGATGACCAGATGACCAACATCAGTCTTGTCTCCACATCTGGGCCAAGTCGAATGTCCAGAACTTAACATGTCAGGACTGGCCGAATAATTCCACCAAACCACTTGTTGAAGCATTTGAACCACTTCATGCTCCAACACATCTCTCCAGAACACATGAACTCATGTGGTTGAACTAACTCAACTCAACTCCTGGAGATCTCTTGGAGGGCTCGGCCCATCACATCCATCGCATCGTTCAATCCACTGAGGTGAAGAGGACCATCCGAATTTCACCGGCTCGTTCTATTCAGAGACCAAGGTGGGTGGCAGCCCAGCAAGTCGTGCGACACTGGAAGGTTGAGGTTTCACCATGGTGAACTATGGTTCACGTATTTGGTTCACCATGCCTGGGTGAAAGGGGGGCAGAAGTGGGATGAAAGTGAAGGAACACCAAGAGCAGTTGGAGTTGTTAGTCACAGAGTCGTTTTCTTTCTTTTCCCTTTCTTTCTTTCTTTCTTTCTTTTTTATCTTTCTCTTTCTCTTTCTCTTTCTGGTTCTCGGTTTCTGGTTCTCCGTCTCCGTCTCTCCGTCTCCGTCTCCGTCTTGCCCCCACCCGCTCTCTCGCTCTCTCTCTTCCTCTCTCTCTTCGTCTCTCTCTCTCTCTCTCCTTTTGCGGAACGTTTGGGCCAAAACAACTTGGTCCGACAAGCGGTGGATGCACACTTGGCAGGGCTATGTCGAGAACATGCTTCGGGAATTTGAGCATGTCTTGACGCTGCGTGTTCGCATGCCCATCGATGGAGACGTGCTTTGCAACAAGAGGAACTTTATCTACAAGATCTCTCACTACAACAAGGCTCAAGCACATGCATGCATGACGGCACGGAATCGTGGGGTCATGACCAAGTGAGCTTGGGGTATATGGACAGATGCTGGCATTTGAGTCTAAGGCGGCAATAAAGCTTCAGTCCCAGTTGGCAAGGGCCCCCCACTTGGAAGGGCTTAGCGCCCTCCATTTTTTCCGCGGTGCTTTGACGAGGTGGTTAACATCCCCAACAGCATGACCGTGCTGCCGGAGCTCTTGCCCTATGCTGTTGAGATGGCCCTGCGCAGATTAGCACCTGGGCAGTCAAAGGGCCTGAATCATGAAAGACGCTCAGATGAGAAGGTGTAGGAGAACAGAACGATCTTTCCTTTCCTTTTAGTTTCCGTGTTGGCAGCTTCATTGATGATTGGCACGTCACTAGGGCGGGCAGTTCTTGGAGAGAAAAACCATGATGGATAGATGGATGGCTGGATGAATGAATGGGTGGATGGATAGCCAGTTTCAAATTTCAGTCGAACTTGAGACTGGGATCTACAACTTCTGCAACCCGGGCGCGATCAGCCACAATCAAGTCTTGGAGCTCTACAGGGAGCGTCCATGGGCCGGGTGCATCTGGTTTTAGGTGTTCGGGAAATGTCACAGGTTTCCACGGGCACTGTGGCGGAGTATTCTGCCAAAAGGATCAAAGCAGGTGCCCCCCTGAGGTGAGGCGTTCATTTCAGCATGGATGAGAGTACTCATTGATTCATGTGGAGCTTCCAAAGAGATTCGGGCATTTAAGCCCTTGAAACATGGCCTGGAAAGATGATGGAAGATGCATGCACATACACTATCATGTATGTATAGATGTATATATGTACACCAGTTATATTAGTAAATTAATTTTTGGACATATGGACTGCCGTGCAGCCGCCGTGGGATGGTGGGGTTGGGGAGGACTACATCGATCCAGACTTCAAGTGGGCGAACTTCACCATCGAGGAGCAGGCCAAAGTCATCACGGCGGCACGCTCCAACAATGAGTTGAGCCCACACAAGATGTGGAAGGACCTTTTCTTTTTGCGTGAGCCGAGCCGAGGTTTTGCAGGTTTAGAGAGCTGTGACCAGTGAACTTTGCTTGCTGTCCGTTTGTGTCTTTGCAGGAGTTCCCTGGAATGCTGCCGATTCGAGTGCCTGTGGCAAGACTTTCAGAGGTTTGTAATGAGGCCCTTTGCAGCCATTCGCGGTGCATGTGGGCCCAAACACAGCGCACAAACAACAATGTTCAGCGAACATCCCAGCACACCCGTTTGTTCCTTGTCGGATAAATAAAAAAATATATATATATATGTTGGACGTTCACTTGTGGTGTGGAGATCCCCAGCCATGTTGGATGCAAATTCTGTTCTGCCGCCTCTCGGCCACGGCCGAAAGTCTCCAAGTTCCCGAACTCTGGATTGACAAGAGGAAACTGGGCCCTTTCCCTGATGCAAGAACGATGACAGTGATGCTGATTTGGACTTTGGCCCTAAAACCAAGGAGTCCCTCATTGAGTACGTCTTCAAGCCACTGCAGACGGAAAAGTCCAAAGCGAAGATTGGAGTAAAGAAGTAAGTGAGGCCGATTGTCAGGAAAGGAAGCTGGGGCAAAGCCTTCTCGGGACTGTGATGATCTATTGAAGTTAAAGGTCGACGTAAGGTTCTTTCAAGTAGAAAAGGCCAAACATGGTGTGCAAGGAGTGGCAAGGGAATTGACTCTTCATGTGGCGAAAGTTTACAATTCACACACACACACATATATATATATATAACCTATTAAATTTTGATCGTGCCGTGACGTGTAAACCATTTCTTCTGGTGTTTGGAGCCTACTCCTATTTTGGAATTCTTTCCTCAACCATGCAGCTCAGCGGAAAACCCAACCATCCTGACAGTCAAGAGTTGCTCTTGCGGCAGGCGCTGTAGATGCATGTGGGATGGCAGGTATCAATGAGTTGCTGGAAGCAAAAGGCTTTCCATATCGTATATAGATTGTCCACTAGTTCCAAGTGCGCAACCTGCACTTGTTGGCGGCCCGGCCCTTTGAACATGTTGGCGACACATTGCTAGAAAGTCATTGCAAGAACTGAATGCACAAGAAGATTCCGCAAGTGCCATGTTTAATGTTCTTGATGGGATTTGCACAACTCTTCGACCAAGCCAAGCTTACAGGAATTAATTATATACTGAATGTGGGAAGGGTGTGACGCCGGTGCCCGGCCCGGCAGTCGACTGTTTCCAGCTGGGAGCTGCCTGTTTTGTCACGCCAGCGTGATGCGTTGCATGGTGCCTGGCGATTTGCGTGGGTCTAGGACAAAGCGCACGCAGGCGGTTGTTGCAAGTCATGAATTCTACCTGGAGTATCAGAATCTGGTATGATCTGATACGACGATGCTTACATTTCCGGTGGTGCTGTGGGAGAGTAGGAAGAAACAGCACAGAACTGTTGGGTCCGGTTTTTTTCCGGGGATCGTTATGCCAAAATGTGCCGGCCAAGGGTTCCAGAGCTGTGCGCTCACTCAGTCAATCAGAGCTGTGGCCATTTGTCAAGTCAGTTTTGCAGCAACATTTCGGCAAGTTGGAACCATCTCGCATAGCTTCACAGCTTGTGCTCCCACATTGAAGTAAATGTCATCGATGCCTCCTTGCCTTTCTCTCTCTTTCCTATGTGCATCCACTTGCATATCCACACCCTTTGCACTTTGAACCGCGGTTTTGTTTTGGAGGGGTTGTCAGTCAGATGCGTCAGCAAAACAGAGAAACGGACTGCACATGCGCGACATGGTGCGCGCGAGAGAGAGAGAGAGGGACGGAGAGTGTGAAGCAGATGACATGTGGTCAACCGGCCACGCTGGCCGGCACACGTAGCATCCATGATCCATGTGCCACGCTTCATCACGGGGCCCTTCAAGCCGAACTCGCTCTTCTTGGAGGAGGGACATGGCGTTGATCGAGGCGTTGATTGAGGCCCTCACCCCTGTCAAAAGACGTGAAAGAATGGATGGATGAATGATTGACAAAAAGGGTGGCTTGACTAGGACTAGGAACAAGAATCAAGAAGCAAGGTGCATCGCCACTAGTCGCAGGAAGCTATTACTTGATGTGGGGATGTGGAGCCCGCCTATTTGGGACTCCCTTGATTGGTCGGGGTGACCTCACTTCCTAGGTCCTAGGCCCCTTGAACTGGGCAGTCCATCAGAAGCTGGAGTAGTGATTTGCTCAGCATCCAAGCCCACGATGTGCAGGACGCGGAATATGGGAGAGCACTGGATGCCTTAGTGAAAGCTGTGTGCGGAGTCTAAGGAAGCTTGACTTTTGGATGGTGTGAGGTCCTAGATCAAGCCAAATCAAGGATATCAAGAGCCTTGGCAGGCCTTTGCATTTGAACGATGCCTTTGCATGCGACCCCTAAGCACTCAAAAGGATTTTTGCAAAAGACTCTTTGCTATCGTTTAAGCCCCTGTTCCTTCTCGGACGTTACACTCAGACCGGGGTCACCCTAAACCCGGTCCGGGCCTCCGCAGGTCGGACGTCCTCATCACCTCGCCGGACGGCGGCCGCATCTTCTTGGGGAGGCGGAAGGCACCGGGGTTTTTGGGAGGAGAAGCTGGGGGATTTTTTTGGGGATAAGCCATAAGCCCGAAACAAGTGCAGTTGGGATGCAGTTGTGGTGAGTGCCGAGGGGCCCACGAACAGCTGCCAGAACTGACATGAGTGTTCATCTACGCCACATCCCGATACCTTTTCTTGAAGAAGTCTGTTTGCATTGCATGGATGTGACTGGACTCAATGGAATTCTACGGAATTCTCAAATCGGAAGTGGGCCCTTAGAACACAGTGTCTGCATCAGGTGCACCCTCAACCAGATTGGCCTCAACCTGAGAAGTGGAGTGGGGGCGAAGTCAACAGCAAGAGCGCATGAATCAGTACCTTTCAAGGACTGCATAGGTTTCGCTGCAGATTGCACATCCCCTACCTACCTTGTTGCAGCACCAACACCATTGTCAGCTTGAAGCAGCTCCAAGAGCCTCAGCAAAGCAATTCCTCGCGGCTGGATGATCAGGTGGTACATGGGTGGACGTGCCAAGCCTGGTGAGACCCCGCAGCAGGCAGGCGTGCTTGTGCCTTTGAGCGAGCTGAAAGCTTGAGGCGTTAAAGTAGTGCGGTGTGCGAGTCAAACCTTCCCACACTTGGGTCGTTGCAGTATTCTGGAACGAGGTGTGAATGAAGGTGTGGTAGGTAGGCACGTATCCGAATTTGCAAGATGTTTTGGAAGCTGCAAGTGGCCGTGCTTCGAAGCGGAGAAAGAACAAAACTCAACACAGAAACATCACCTGTCACCTCTTGGGGCAAACAATGCATCGTAACTTGATATAATGAAAGACAAATGATAATAATAAAACAAGAATGCTATAATATAATGCATTATCATGTTATGAGATTATTTATATCTTTTCATTCTACCGATGGTATTTGCCATATTTCTGTAGGGTTGCGACTGCCCTTTGACATCTTGCCACTCGTCTTCGGCCTCCAGGCGGCCGCGCGTGTGATGCGGCGGGAGTTGGGATTGCAGCTGGCGCCCGCGCGCTTTGAGGCGGTGGACAGGGGTCGAAATGGATAGGTAGAGGCGATATAGCAGCGATATACAGTAGAGCTTGTGTTTTCCCCTGTGAAGAGGCAGACGTTTGATCCTGGACCTGGTAGGAGGTTGAAAGTTCCATGTTCGATCGATTCTTCAACGTGGAGAGTGAGGCACATGATTTTTTCCAAGTAGTTTAAGGCATGTTGGGACGGTGGTTGAAATGAATGATTCAAATTTCAACATCGCTGTGTTCTTTGCAGGGCTATAGGATATCGTTCCATAATACTGTAAATGGGTGGATGTGGGTCAGATCTTGCTCGGTTGTTGCTCAGTCAAGAAACTAACCTCGGCTGCAGGGGGCTGCAGTGGGAAACGCTGCAACTTCTTCCAGTTGATTTCCATCCAGACTCGTAGGGGGGGTTGCACTCCACCCCCGCCAGCCCGCAGCTGCATCCATTCGAGCGCCAGCACCCGATGGCCTTCTGGAGATCGCTCAGCCAGCTACGGCAGGGCGCCTGCCATGCCTTGACCGCGGCGGAGCAGCTGATGCCTCAACCGCTGCGCTTGGCGCCCCTCGCACCGCTGGGACCGACCCACTTTCAGGCGCCCCTGGCGGCGGGACCGGCGGGACCTGCTGCGGAGGTCCTCGGCAGCTGGTGCGACTACCTCCGGCCGCGGGAGTTCAACGTCCGACTGGATGTGAGGATGAAGCGGGCGGCCGCGCCCTACCCGCGGAACCCGAACCGGAAGAAGCCGGTGCCGAAGGTCAAAGGGATCATTCGGAAGCTCATCAAGTGAGGCCCGCGAGCATGACAGCCTGAACCTCGGAGCTGAGGAAAAAGCGGTATGTTGTGCGCTAGACCTCTGACTCTGAGTGTCTTTCACACCAATCAGTCACATCAAGACGGGTGAGTGATTTTGTGAAGCAGTCTTGGCAAATACAGCATTACCCTCAGTTTGGTGCAAACCATGCCTGACATACACTGGTCGGTCAGTCTTCCATTATCCCTATTACCTGCCATCTCACTCAAGGGGGGAACAGGCACGCAGCCAAATAGTGCAAGGGTTGCGTGGAAACCTTAGTAGCACAGTAGCGGGAGATCCCATCCCCTGCCAGCACTCGTTGAAACCAGAGCCCCCCCAGGCCATGTCATTTTGTTGGCGCACTTGGCACTTGGACATCCATCATACTTTGACGCCCTGGTCGGCAGGTCATTGGAAGCTATTCCATGATCTGGGCCATGCGCGAGCAGCCTCCCGCTGAGCACGGGACCGCGGCAGGGCCTCCTGGAATCCTCAAAAACATCATCGCAGCCACATGCATAGGTAGCAACTCGGTCACTGAAGTGCATTTTTGTTGAGATAAGACTGCCCGTGGTGCTTTGTCATGATCCAGGCATCAATGCATGGTTGAGGAATTCTCCATGGGCTTAGTTCCCCAATAGCCATGCTATGGGGTCTTGCAAAACTAATAGGCGGACGGGCGCCGTCGGGTCACCGTCAGAGCTGGTGCGGATGGTGTCCCGGTCATGTTTTGATGGCGTCCGGGTCATGTGATGCTGGTGTCCCGGTCATGTTTTGATGGTGTCCCGGTCCTGTTTTGATGGTGTCCCGGTCATGTTTTGATGGTGTCCCGGTCATGTTGTGATGGTGTCCGGGTCATGTGACGGTGTCCCAGTCATGTTGTGATTGTGTCCTGGTCATCTTGTGATGGTGTCCCGGTCATGTTGTGATTGTGTCCCAGTCATGTTGTGACGGTGTCCCAGTCATGTTGTGATGGTGTCTCGCTTATGTTGTGACGGTGTCCCGGTCATGTTTTGATGGTGTCCCGGTTATGTTGTGATGGTGTCCTGGTCATGTTTTGGCGGTGTGCCGGTTATGTTTTGATGGTGTCCCGGTCATGTGACGGTGTCCCGGTCATGTTGTGATAGTGTCCCGGTCATGTTGTGATGGTGTCCCCGTCATGTCATGCTGGTGTCCCGGTCACCTTGTGATGGTGTCCCGGTTATGTTGTGATGGTGTCCCAATCATGTTGTGACGGTGTCTCGGTCATGTTTTGATGGTGCCCTGGTCATTTTGTGATGGTGTCCCGGTTATGTGATGATGGTGTCCAAGGAAGAGATGGTCGATGTGTTGAAAACAGCAGCTGTTTCCAGATTTTTCTTTTTGTCCCGGTTTGTATCTTGCTATTGGGGTCTCCAGCTGGGCTAATTAATACTGCTAGTGCTTTGGAAGCTATCGGCAATCAGGATATTAGCACTGTGCACCACTTGGTCATCCAGCCCGAGGAGGCCGGGTTCGGGCAAGGGTGCATGTTGTTGTGACATTTTAAGCATCCCTCTTTGGTTTGTGGGGTCTCTTCGTGGTTCAACTGTTGTTGAACGTGCAGGCTATGTGCAAAATTGTTGGAGACAGCACGCCAAACGACAAATCCTAAAGTCCTAAACTGAACAAGCATCATACATCTCCTTCAGCTTTTTGCTGTGGCCTATATGAGCACCGAAGAGTTTTCTCATGTGATTTCATGCGTGTACTTCCCCACCCTCCAAAACGGCGATTCCCTAGTCTCCAGGGTTGGTTCTGCAGGGCCAGCCTGGTGTGTTCCTCTTAGTGTTTGTGACGCAGGAGGCGGCCGTGCAGATTGACGAGAAGGACTGCTTCGAGCGGCTCTGGACAAACCCGCGCTCACCAGCGGCGGAGCGGCGTGAGCGGCGCAGGAGTATGCGGAGTCCCGGTGGTTTCATCCGGAGGAGGTCTTGAAGGGCGAATTTCACCCGATCCTGAAGCAGGCCTACAGGGTGTGTCAGGTATGGTAAATGATATATGGTAAATTAAGTATTGATAGGATTCCTCCTCTATAGGCTGGATGGAGTTGTCATGAAAAAAGACATCCTCAGAAGTTGTGGATGAGCCCATTATTTCGACAAAGATCTGCAGCCACGGGCCACAGCGCCAGCTTCCGCCTGGCAGTTGTCCGGAATCTTGTTGCTGGCTTGCAGGCCCTGAGAGACTTGCAGGCCAAGACCACTTACAAGGCCCTGCAGCAGGCGTGGTTGGCTGCAGGATGGTTGTGCAGGAGGCGGTGTACAAATCACTATGGACTGTTGAAATGATAGGGACTTCTGATAGTGCCAGTTGGAATTCGCCCGTTCTGATAAACACACACACACATCGTTTTCGTGAGACTTATATACTGGCTAGCGCTCAAGCAGTTTCTGAGCGTGCCAGGCAGTCCAGCAGGGTGATGAGGAGAGAGTGAGCTGGACAGATGACAGGGGGACATCCTGGCGCAGCACGAAGGGCATCGCTACTGGTAACAAGGGCATTACTAGTAGCAAGAAGCTACTAGCAACAGGGACTAGTAGCTGAGGGCATGACTAGTAGCCACAAATGGAATTGCGACTTTTGTCAACCCGGTGATGCTCAGGACTCCCGCTTGGCCACCTTGGCGCGCGCGTTTGTAGCGGCTGCGCAGGCCAGACGAGCTTCGAATTCTGTTGTATGAGAGAGCGCCATCACTAGCAGCTTCTTGTTACTAGTGCACTTGCTACTGGTAGAAGTACACTGGTTCCTAGTAGCCTTCTTGTTACTAGTAGCGATGCACTTGTTACTGGTAACAATAGACCTGCTCAGCCTGGTCCTCTTTGGGTTGGAGATGTTTGGCCAGACTTGAGAGAATAGCTCTTCGAAAGTGTCGTGCCCCCAAGCTAGGCACAACAATCCCCAAAGTGGCACAAACGGTCCGTGTTCTGTGTTCCATATTGGTTGGAGACGTGCCATTCTGCAGGAGCTAAAACCAAAGTTCAAGACATCTAGCTTTTGAGCATGCTCGGTTGCTCACATTTTGAGTGCGGAATTGCAATATTCAGTCTCACAGGTCCAAGATGGTCCAAATCCTTAGGCTTTCGATTGTCACAGTTGCTCACGTGATGGGCTGGCGCAAGCACAGCGCCTGAGATCAGGTATTTGCTAGAATCCCATGTGCTTGAGCCAGCCAAGTCCACTGCAATTGATGGAAATGCCGACCGTTGAGGAGTCCATGTTGCCCGCTGAGCGGGGGGGTGATGCAAGTGGACTTCGATGAGGCTTCTCGGAAATATGTGGCTTGCTTGCAATTGTTTTGCTGGAAGCCGGGTCCCATCGTTCCATGCTTATGTGGACATCGGGTGCTCGTTGCCTTGCAACTGTCCAAAAAACGGGCGGAGTTGGCGCCCGAAACCCATCGGGGAAACCCATCGGCCCTGCGAGGTCAGGTCAGCCATCCAAAAGGACAAGATTGACAAGATCCTTTTTGCATTGAATCAGTTGAGAGAGATCCACTGGCAAGGGCTTGCTCCATCTTTGCCATCCCACGGGTTATAGAGTCTTATATATATACTTATTTGGAGGGCCTCGGTCAAGGAGGTTGCCGACCCCAATGGAGACGAACAGATCAAATTGCTTTCCTCACTCCTTCCTTCCAACTGGCTTGAAACCGCCATTTTGTGGCGCCCCTGCTTCCCAGGCAGTCACACTTCAGGAAGAGTCTTGAGTCTTGACCGTGGCGAACGTGCCACTGCTAATGGCAAGAACAAAACTGATCGCCAAGGATGGGTTCAAGGGCCAAAGGGCTCTCACCCCTCAAACGGTCGCATTGTTGTGTCCCACTGTTTGCCAAATCTTTGTCGCATGATCTTGTTTGGGGTCTATGCTGGTGTGGTTGTTGGCTGAATCACTGCCATGTCAGGAGGTCAGTGGTTAAATAATTGAGGACTTGAGCGCTCAGGGCGGTTTCGAAGGCCAAGTGACTTTTTGGGGGTATCGGTCTCGGTATGGAGGATTGCTCCCCCAAATCGTGTTGCAATCCTTGCCAGTAACCTTGGCAGGTTTTTTGCGTCCAATGATGCTCCTACATCCTTTGTTAGACATCCACCGTGCTCCCACCCAAACCGGCATGGCAGCTATGGTTCACTCCCGGGGCGGTGGACTGATGGACGACCACCGAAGGCAGGCCTTCGGTATTCGAAGGCGGCATCCAAAGGCGGCCTGGGAAGAAAAAAAACGTGACTGGCGCGTGGTGACGTGGTGTTGAGCGATGGCTTTGAGGAGTTGTTTGGGGTCCAGGATTGGAATTTCACGTAGAGCTTGGAGACCCAGCTAGGGCGTGGGACCAGCTAGGGGGGTTTTCGTAAACGATCTAAAGACAAACCCTTTTTGGCTCGTGCAGGCAGCATTCGTGTCTACCGCGGCCGCATGTTCAAGAATCTCACCCAAACAGACCAGCAAGTTTATGTTGCCACCAGTCAGTCACAAGGGAGCTCAGATCCAACCAGCTAGCTTGGCTTCTTGAGCTTCTTGGAGGCAAGGCATGTGATACGCCAGCATCAGCCTGTTCAAAGAGAGACAATCTCGACGTATTGCCCGTCCTTGGATGCACAAGCTGCCCCAGACCTGGGCCCTCTAAAGTTGCCATGACTGACCCAACAATCGAAACCCATGGTGTGGGCCGGCGGGAGTGAAAGCAAGGGTTTCTGTAGATTCTCCCTCACACCAAGTCATTGAGCTAAGGTCAAGCATTGACATCCAAGGACCTTGCTCAGCAATCGATCACGTTCTTCATGATGCTTTTGCTCCCAAGCACGCGACTCTGAAGGCCACGTAGCAGCTTTACCGTCATTCTTTTTGGGTTGCCCCATGCCATGTCGGCCAGCGCCTCTTCATGCACGGCGTATCCCCTTGAGCGCAAGGAGCGGAGTTTGGGTTGATTCAGCTGCTTCGGGTGATGGATGATTACAATCCAAGCTGTCAAACAACATCATGATCATCTACTGCGCAACTGAAGTGCAAAACCCCTATATACCCGTTCTTTTTCCTTCCTTTCACGAAAGCCAACTAGATCAAAACAAGCTCATCAAACCCATACCGCATGCCAGCCATGTACAGGGTTTTACTCAGGAATTGTCCTGCATTTGGGGCAAGAAAATGGAAGATTGCGAGGAGGCCATCGCTAGGTTGGAGGCCACTAGTAGCTAGAAGCTACTAGTAACGAAGCCAGGGATGGCCATGCCGAGTCTTCAGCTTCTTCACTTTCGCCTCCACCCCTCCGTAGCGTGAGGACCCGATGGGCGGAGCCGCCCTCGATTCCACGTCCGGCCACGGAACGGAAGGGCCGAGCGCAGAGAGGACAGGCACAGGACAGGGGCAAGACGCACAAAAAGGCAGCATGTACCATGTACGTTTGGAGGGATTTGAGCGTGGTAAGATACATATATATATATATATATATTTTTTTTAAATATATATATATATAAAGCATTGTTGGGTTCCACCTTCTCCACACTGAGCCCCCTGGACCCATCTGCACCCTGGTTCACTTCCTCCTTCTAATCAACCATGCAGAAGCCCCGGTGCCGCCTCGTCACATGACCGAGACCCGCCCAGACCGAGACCCGTCGACCGCCTCAGGATCTGCTGGACGTGCTGCGCTTCGAGGCCTCGGACACCGAGGCCTCGGAGAGCGACGGCGTCCCGGAGGAGGAGGTGGGCGCCGACTCCAGGCGTCGAGACGGAGATGGGGTGGCGGGTGAGTGGGGGGAGAGAGTGGGGTGTGGACTGGTGCGGACCTATGTGGAGGGTATAGGACATGGCTATGTTTTTCATTTATGTACTTTCTTGGCTGCTTTTTGGGGGGTGGAGGGCTGAGGGAGGGCCAGTGGGGTCAAGAAGAGAAAATTGATGAAGTTTGTGATTTGACAGGATGAACATTTGATACCTGCCATGCTGAGTAATGGGTTGTTTCGTGCAGGGCATGTGTCACGATATGTCATGATGTTCCAAGACTGCCAGCCAGCAGCTAGCGGCTAGCGGCCAGCGGTTGCTGTCGGTCCGCTTTGGTTCGGAAGGATCACCGTCTCCACTGTAGGTCTCCACCTGGCATCCGCGTTCGGGCCCTATCCAGTGACTGCCAAGGGTCATCACCAGCCTCCAACGTTCCGTGGGACTCCGTGGCTTAGTGGCTGGACCCATGGGGGAAGGCCCGGAGACTCAGTGCATGCGAGCTCAGCTTTGGCAGATTTGAAGGTTTGAATTACTGCAGATTAGATAGACTCGTTTCATAGCAAAAATCAAACAAATGACATCAGCGACTTCAGCGCACTTCAAGGAGTAATTATATAATGTTATATGGCGTTGTTAGGTGGATGATGGTAGCTGGTAGATCCGCAGTTGGGTGGTTTGTGTGGATGCCCACCTGCGAATGGTACGGCCTGGGCACGAGTTTGCGCGTCCAGACATTTTACCCGCTGCATCCTAAGTAGTAGGGACTGTGGTGATTGCAGAGAAGTAACCAACTCGAATGTGAGGTTGGCAGTGAACGGTATGGCCTGGAGCTTTGTCAAGAACATGTCTTTAGATACTGACCGATCCCTCTTAAGCAATCAGTGAATCTCATGTAGTAGTGAGCAGGTTCAGTCAGCAAGTGGGTGGCTCATGAACTCTGAACCATCGAAGCGGTGTCCATGTCCATCGAAGCCCAGGCCTAGTCACTTCCCGCATGCCGGGCTTTGGTCGGGGGGTGCCGCCCTCCACGCGTCACACGGCGTGAAAGAGATGAGAATCATGGGTTCTGCTTCCAGGTAGGTAGGCTTCTCACGAATTTCTCTGAAGGCCTTCCAGTGAATCGAGTGAACCCATGAAGATCTGATGCAGACTTCACCTGCCGTCCGTCAGCTCATACCGAAAGAAACCTGGCTGACCTGAGGCATTGAGCAGTGTGTGGCTGTGGGCTTCAGTGAGGCTGAGGTGCGCTTGGAGGGGAGCCGCTTCTTCGTGCTAACCACTGCGCATGATGGCTTCAACCTCACTTGGCTACCTTCCATGAAGCTTGGATCATCAGCTGGGGGGCACCATGTGTGTTCCTCAGGTCACTTCGCTGGCAAGGGTTGTGCTAGGCACTTTAGCCGCTAGCCACCCAGTCTTGTTGCTTGTGCCCGACTGGGTGCATGGGCAATCACTTCAAAATTGTGTCCCAACCTTCACACCTTGGCATGCTTCCAAGGAAATCTGGCGAAATGTCCGCACGTGCCCCTTGGCAAGACATGAGGCAGTCAAGGAACCGGCAGGAGACGGCCCAGGCAACCCACAACTCCATGATCAATCCCGAGACGCGTTCAGATGTTCAAAGAGATTTGAGCATTTTCAGTATGAAATGTAGATACTGTAGCTTCAGCTGTTGGCAGCTGTATACATTCAGATTCTTTGACGATTTAGTCCGCATGGCCGCGACTCGGCGCAAGCGGGCTGAAAGGTGGCAGGTTTCTGGTTGTTGGCCCTGATTCATGCAGTGTCCAACTGGGGGCCGTCAGGTTTCCCCTATAAACCATCGACCCTCGAGGGTCCATCTATAGAGTGCATTCTATAGAAAAAAACGTCCTGTGGTTTTCTATAGAATGACCACCCCTGAGGGTGGACATTCTATAGAAACCACGGTTTTTACTCTTATACTCGAAGAATGTACTGTAACCTTGGGTAGCTTGATTTGACAGAGACCATTTGATAGTATAGAGAATTATTTGTGTGTTTTGATTCTATGGAGAATCATCCATGGAATCTTAAACATATATAGATAAACATAGAACACATGGGAAGCCAACCATAGTGAAAGAGAATCTGAACCCCCAACACATTCTGCTGGCGTTTGCTGGCCATCTATAGAATCAGGGTTCCAAAGGTCCTCAGGTGCCTGCCATCTATGTAAGGGCCCCCACACCCAGCAGGTTTCCCTATGTGAACTTCCTGCAAACATCGCAAATATAACTTAAAATGTCTTGCACACATTTCAATAAAATCAAAACCGATCAAAATAGTGTCTATAGAATTTGACAAACCATGGAGAGCGTCGGAGACCGTTCGTCGCTTGATTAGGGAACCCTGGGGGTCCACTATAGAACTAGACCACCTACTTTACCTGATATTAGGGTGGGTGATTCTATAGTGGGCCACCTTGGGGCAGCATGTCTCATCAGGTGCATGTTCCTCCCCTGGGTGTCTAGATTTTATAGTGCAGAACCCTGGCGGGCGCAATTTAGGGCTATAAAATGACAACCCCCAAGAGGTTGAATATGGAATATAAAAAATCTATGTATATATGTATTTACATCCATATATTATATAAAGCTAAAAATATAGTGAGTTGTTGAGAAGTTGTCGATCCCCGATTCGGCACACGGCTGGGTACGGGTTTTACAAGGGTCAAGAAACATAATTCTCACATCTAAGGATGATCCCGGCTGGACCCAAGTGGCTCTTTTACCCTTTTGCTCAGCGTCTTGGTATATACATTTGCCTGGGGTGTGTGTTGGGTTGAGCTCAATCTTGTGGTGCTAAGCTCGTTGCAGAGAACACGTGGGAACTTGGAGCCTATTTGTGCAAGTTTCAATTGGCAACGCTTCAGGCATTTTCCAAACATGAGGCGCGGCCGGGGCTCCCCACAGCATTTAGAATCGGAGGGGTATTTATTTTTTGATTTTTTTTGTTTCTTTTTTGGATTTTTTTTGTTTTTCGTGGCTTCTGGCTTCTAGCTTCTGTGGCTTCTGGCTTTTGTGGCTTTTGTGTCTTTTGGCTTCTGTGGCTTCTGGCTTTTGTGGCTTTTGGCTTTCGTGGCTTTCGTGGCTTCTGTGGCTTTTGTCTTTTTGGCCTATCCATCTATCTGTCTATACCTATCTATTTATCTATCTATCTATCTTTCTTTCTTTCTTTCTTTTGGCAGCTGTTCTCCTTTCTCTTTTTGTATTTTCGTTGCAGAGACGAAACCAAACAAGGAAGCAAGCAAGCAAGCAAGCAAGCAAGCAAGCA